TCACATTAGCGGCTCTGCACGGGGGGAGGGGGGAATGCTCTCGGTGCAAAGCTCCCATCTCCAGCAGAGCCGTGGCACGGCGGGCCGGGCAGGATGAAGCCCCATGACGTCCCTTTCCAGTGCAGGGACGGCGCTGTCCCCGCAGTCACCTCCGTCGGGGACACGTCCCCGCTGACTCACCGGCCCGCAGGCTTTAATTAGCCAGGCTGTTTTTAGCATCCTTCCCCCGGCAGCAGCGGGGAGCAGCAGCAGACCCGGAGCTTTCCAGCCTCCGCTCAGCCTCTGCCTGCTCTCTCCCCAGGGGCATCTTCCTCGACACCATCCTGCCCAAGTACGACGTGAACGGGGTGCGACCTGCCATCGGCCAGCGGACGCGTCTGAGCAAAGGGGACATCGCCCAGGCCCGCAAGCTCTACCGCTGCCCCGGTGAGTGTCACCGGGACGGCTCTGCCCCCGGGGCCGTGTCACTGCCGGGGGGACCTGGAGCGGCCGCCGGGCTGATCGGCTGGGGGCTGAGCGTGCACGGGGCCGTGTGTCCCGGGGAACAGGCTCTGCTTTCACCCCGCGACTTGAAAAAAAGGAAGGCTGGATCCCCTGTTTCCAGTGGCCAAACGCTCTTTGGGGTCCTCCTCGCCTTCAGACCCCCTGCGAGGAGCACACAAGTTGCCTTCCTCCATCCACGGCACTTTGCTGGGGTGTCTGTGAGCAGAAGCTTAATTCAAGACCTCGGCGAGCCGTGGGGGCTCTGCCCGTGTGAACAAGAGCATCCCCAGCTGCCCTCTCCTCCTGCTCCTCCAAGAAAAAAGCATCCCCCCCCCGCAGCATCCCCCCAAATATCCTCCAAGAGCATCCTCGAAGAGCAGAGCATCCCTTGAGAGCATCCTCTGACAGCAGAGCATCCTCCGAGAGCGAAACATCCTCGGAGACCGTCCTCCCACCCACCCCAACAGCCAGAGGGTTTTGGATGAGGCACGGCCGGGCGTTACGCAGGGGTGGGACGGGACGGTCCCACCGCAGACTGGTGGGGAGCGAGGGATGCTCGGCACAACCAGCACACACGCTGGCACCTTGAATGGTGCTGAGGACCGTGGCCCGTGAGCACCGGCATTTCCCCGGGTCCTGGGGAGGCCGGCACGAGTCCCCTGCCTGCAGGCACATGCTCTGGGATTGTACCAGCCACATCTGCAAGGAGTTTGGCTCCCGCACGCTCCCGCTTAATTCCAGCGACTAATTAGCAGCTTGGAAAAGGGACGCCTTTGTGAGGGGCCCCAGCAGCCGGCTGTGCCCCGTTCGGGGGGCTGCAGGGGAGCAGGGCTGTGAGTGCGAGCAGGAAAAGTAATTAGTTTGGAGGGGGAGGAAAAAAAAAAAAAAAAAAAAGCTCAAAAAAAGAAGCCCAAGGTTAAAAAAAAAAGCAAAAAAAAAAAAAAAAAAAAGCCCGGCTTTCCCTTCCCTTTGTTTCCACTGTAAAGCAAGGAGGGGAAAAAAGGCAGCGAGCCCAAGTTTCAAGCTGCCTTTTTTTAACGTTTCACCTTTCATCTCGTGCCCCCCTCCCCGAGCGGGAGGTGGGGGGCGGCTGCCTTGGCCCCGCGACAGCCGGAGCGAAGCGCCGTGTGCCGTGGCCGCGGCATCATGTGGCTTCCAGATGGTAACGCTGGGCCGGATCCAGCCGCGGCTGCGTAAACCTGCCCGGAGCCCGGGCGGCGAGCCGGGCCCCCGCGGCGTGGCAGGGCACGTGGGGGGGGGGACAGGACGGGATGGGGGGCAATGGGGTGGCTCTTATCCCCGGGGCTCAGGGGGCAACGTGCGTGTGAGGGGGTGGCGGGGAGCCAGGAGCATCGCCAGCCACCCCCCCCCGGTGAAGTTTGGGGCATTTTGGGGGTTGTTGCAGCAAGGTGGTGATTTTTTTTTTTTTTTAATGCAGAGCTGTCCTCAAAGCTTTGAATTTGGGTGGTAAAAAGGTGCAGGGGGGGGCCGGGGGAAGCAACTGGTCGCAACCCAGTGCTGCCCCTCCCAAAACTGGGGGCTTCCCGGGGTCTGAGCCCCGCTTTTCCCCCCCTCTTGGCAGCCTGTGGGGAGACGCTCCAGGACAGCCAGGGCAACTTCTCCTCCCCGGAATTCCCCAACGGATACTCTGCCCACATGCACTGCGTCTGGAGGATCTCTGTCACCCCCGGAGAGAAGGTACCAGCCGCCGGCGCAGCACCGAAGACACCCCACCTCCTCCCAGCCCTCCTCTCCCTCCCTCCCCCCCCCCCCCCACCTTCTACCCTTTTTTCGGGGTGCCCCTAACCCCAGCGTCCCCCCTGCCCGGTGCCTTGCTGCGGTTCGGGGATGCTGCTGGGCATCACCGCAGAGCGGAGCCGGGTACCGCTGGATCTCCGAGACCCCCGTGGGGTGCGGGGAGGGAGGGCTCACCCCACACTTTTTCCACCCCTCCCCCCGCACCCCCCCCCCCCTCCACCAACTCCCCACTTCTAGATCATCCTGAACTTCACCACCCTGGACCTCTACCGAAGCCGGCTGTGCTGGTACGACTACGTGGAGGTGAGAGACGGGTTCTGGAGAAAGGCCACGCTGCGAGGTAACCAACCGGGAGCTCTTAGCCTGGCCGGCCGGCGCTGCCGGCCCCTGCCCTCACCCCCTGCCCCACGGGGGTGCTCCGGGGGCAGGCAGCGGGGCGAGGGGCTCCCCGCTGCCTCTATCCCTCTAGCCCGAGTGTGATGTGCCAAAGCCCTGGGGCGGGGGGGGTGGGGGGTGGGAGCTGGATTCTTGGGGTCAGCGGGGGCTCCCGGTTTGCTGCCCCAGTGAAACCGGTGAGGCTGACCCAACTGGGCGGCACATCTCCCCCCGGTATCTCAGTCCCGCCCCCGTGAACTGGGTGCTCCCCAAACCCTGTTTGACCCCTGCACTCCGAAATAACCAGTGAAAGAACCAGAAAAGCCGGAGGGAAGCTGGGGTGCGGGGGAGAAGCGGCGCTTTCCCTTTAGGATGCTGGCAAGGGGTGCGCGGGGAGGGCGGGGGGGGGGGACGGGGACTGGGATGTGAGGGTGAGGAAGAGGAGGGTGCCCGGCCGGCGGCAGCCCAGCACGCCTTCATCCCCAGGCAGGTTCTGCGGGAACAGGCTGCCCGAGCCCATCGTCTCCACCGACAGCCGCCTCTGGGTTGAGTTTCGGAGCAGCAGCAACTGGGTGGGCAAAGGTTTCTTCGCCGTCTACGAAGGTAGGGATGGGCGGGGGGGGGGGGGGGGGGGGGGGCTGTCAGGGGGCAAGGCTGGGGGGGGCTCAAGCAGCTTCTCTTCCCTTCCAGCCATCTGCGGGGGGGACGTGAAGAAGGACAACGGGCACATCCAGTCCCCCAACTACCCCGATGACTACCGGCCCAGCAAAGTGTGCGTCTGGAAGATCACTGTCTCCGAGGGCTTCCACGTGGGCTTGACCTTCCAGTCCTTCGAGGTGGGTGAGCATCCCCCCCACCCCCGCCCCCCCCGCCCCCGCTGTGCCGGTCCCCCCGCCATTCCCTGGGGCGGGAAGCAGGGAATCTCCCCAGCAGCATCACCCCGAACCCAGTGGACCCCACGGGACAGGCTTGGGGGGGGCTGTTGCTGCCCTGCTTGGCTCCCCACCTCCCTCCGCACTGCCTCCGTGCCTCAGTTTCCCCACGCAGCAGATCAGCTCCCTTGGCCGGTGGGTGCGTGGGGGGCTGGGACCGTGGGGATAAGGAAAGGAGCAGGGCAGGGTTTAGGGGTGCTGGGGCCGAGACGGTGTGTCCCCCCTCCCTGCTAACACCCCCCCACACACACACCAGATCGAGCGGCACGATAGCTGTGCCTACGACTACCTGGAGATCCGGGACGGCAGCAGCGAGTCGAGCAGCCTCATCGGGCGCTACTGCGGCTACGACAAGCCGGACGACATCAAGAGCACCTCCAACAAGCTGTGGATGAAATTCGTCTCCGACGGCTCCATCAACAAGGCGGGCTTCGCCGTCAACTTCTTCAAAGGTAGGAGAGGTGCTGGAAGGGGGGCCCGGAGGACTGGGGAAAGGTGGGGGGGGGGGGGGGGGGGTCGGGCAGGGAGGGCACTGGCAGCCCTGCCTGCCCGCTCAGCCCCGCTGCCCCTGCCCAGAGGTGGACGAGTGCTCGCGTCCCAATAACGGCGGCTGCGAGCAACGCTGCGTCAACACCCTGGGCAGCTACAAATGCGCCTGCGACCCCGGCTACGAGCTGGCCTCGGATAAACGCCGCTGCGAGGGTGAGTGACAACCCTCCCCCCCCCCGCCAGCTCTGTGCGCGTCCCCCACCCCATGCGGCAACCCCCATCCCAGGGAGCCCGGGGATGTGATGGGTGCTGGGTGCCTCCCGCCCCTGCAGCCGCCTGCGGAGGTTTCCTCACCAAGCTGAACGGCTCCATCACCAGCCCGGGGTGGCCCAAGGAGTACCCCCCCAATAAGAACTGCATCTGGCAGCTGGTGGCCCCCACCCAGTACCGCATCTCCCTGCAGTTCGACTTCTTCGAGACCGAGGGCAATGACGTGAGTCAGCCGGAGAGCAGCCCCTCTCCATCGTGTTTGTGTGTGTGTGTGTCCCCCTCCTCAATGCCCACCAGTGGCTTGCAGGGCGGCACAACCGTGCCACCAGCCGTGTGTGTGTGTGTGTGTGTGTGTGTGTGTGTGTGTATATGTGTGTGTGTGTGTGTCCCCCTACTCCTTGCACCCCACAGGTCTGCAAATACGATTTCGTGGAGGTGCGCAGCGGGCTGACCGCCGACTCCAAGCTCCACGGCAAGTTCTGCGGCGCCGAGAAGCCGGACGTCATCACCTCCCAGTACAACAACATGAGGATCGAGTTCAAGTCCGACAACACCGTCTCCAAAAAGGGCTTCAAAGCCCATTTCTTCTCAGGTAGAGCTGCCCGGCCCCGGCACGGGCATCCCCTGCCCTCCCTCACCGAGCCGACCCTCCCTGCACCCCCAAACCACCGCTAACGCCTGTCCTTGCCCGTGCTGGGGGTGCAGCCCCCGGTCCCAGCCTGGCGGTGGGGTGATCCTTGGGGTCTCTGCCCCGTGGGGTCCAGAACCCCCCCCCCCCCCCAGCCTCCAGCAGCCTGGCCGGCAGCACATTTTGCTGCCTCTCGAGGCTTTTCCCCTCTTTTGAGGGGCAATTGGGTCCTGCTTCAGTTGCTTCAGACCCAGTGGGTGCTGGGCTCCAGCTGCATCCGCGGAGGGAAACGCGCTGGGGATGGGGCTGTGCTCAGCCCTGGAGGGGGGGGTCTCACCCCCCCCAGCTTTGCCGGGGGCCGGGCGCTGCACCCCTCGGGCGGCATTACCGCGGGGGAGGGCGGCGATGGGCCCCCCCACCCCCCCACCCCCCCCCAGCTCTGCTGCCTGCTGCGCTGCTCCATCCCGCTACGCTGCACGGCCACGGGCTTCCTGCGCTTCCCGGGCAGGCTGCTGGGCATCCCGGCCCAGGCTGGGGACAGGGAGGCGGGGATGTCACCATCCGGCCACCGCCATTGTCTCAGGTCACCGGAGTGGTCCCTCCTCCCCAAAACCATTACCTGCTTATCCCTGTCTGTTCCGTGGGCCTCTCTCCTCTCCCGGGGCCACCCCGCCGGGAGATGGGGTCACCTCCAGCGGGGTCATGGAGGGGCAGGGATGGGGACACGGAGCAAAACACATCGCTGGCAGCAGCCAAGCGTCACCCGGGGCTGGTCCCCGGGCTGGGGGCTGCCATGGGACCCTCATGCAAGAAAGGGTCCCCCTCGGCACGATGCGGTGCCCTCGACATCAGCCCGGCCGTGAGCGACCGACAGCACGTCCTGGACAGGCTGGGCTGGACCGGACCACCGGTGCCTTGCACCTCCCGCTGCTTTTTGGCCCCATCGAAGCCGTTTTTGAGGGGCAACGTGGCCGCTCGGCTGCGGAGAGCGGCGGGAGCTGGTATCCCCAGGAGCCCCCGGGGTTCCCCGAGGCAGCCCGGCAGCTTGCCACCGCAGCAGAGACCCGCGGGCCGGGGGTAGAGTATCTTTGCTTTATTTTTTTAATTAAAACCAAGGCAAGTAGGGTGGCCCAGCGGGGCCCAGCCATCGGGACCCTCCAGCAAAGCGAGACCTCGGGAAAGCCCAGCGGCCGAGCGGCAGCGGGACCACGGGGCAGCCGGGTGAGTCTCCCCTCACCACGCTTCGGGCTCCTTCCCTCTCCGCTTTGCCCTCCTCTTCCTCCCACCAGGATGTGCGGCGGTCCCACGGGGGCTGCCCCTACCCCAGCCCACCAAACCTCCTCCTCCCTGTCTCCTCGCTCAGGTCTCGAGCTTTCCCAGCAGCAGGACCACGCTGGAGGACTCGGCCACACCAGGGTCCCTCCTCCGGTCCCCGTCCCCCCCCTCTCACCCCCGGGGTCGCTCCCGGCCAGCCCTGGGCAAAGCATCTCCCGTGCGGCTCCTTTTTAGCCGCGGAGGGTCTCTGTGCTCCTTCCCCGCTGCTCCGGACGCAGCCAGCCGCCGAGCCTTGCCCCTCAGTGCCGCGGGCAGCCTGGCCGCCCGGGTTGCCCATTTTCCCTGGGCGAAGACGTGACCCCATCCTCTTCCTCCTCCTCTTCCTCCTCCTCCTCGCGGGCCGGGGCGACGGGAGGCAGCGGCCGGCTCCGTCGGCTCGCACGTAAGGATGCGTTTCGCCCGGGAATCCGCCACGGTGTCAGCACCCAGGTACGTCCCCCCGGCTCTCGGCCGAGCCCCGGTGCACGGGGGGGTCTGTAGCGGGGTGCGAGGTGCAGGCGGGGGCTGCGGGGCGGTGAGCAGCCCGGAGCCATCGGATGCACGCTGGGATGACGGTGAGCGCACGGCAATGCCAGGTTGCGGCGAGCAAGCTGGTTAGAATAAAAGATTGCTAAAAGACACCTCTGCCAACTCTCTCCGCTCTTGTCTCGCCCGCCCAGGCTCCCTCCGGCCCGCCGACGGGGCGATGCCGTGCACGCTCCCCCGGTGCCGGAGCTGCTCCGAGCCCACCCGGCCCATCTGAAGCCCCTTCCCATCCCCAACCGAGCTTTTCCGCCTCGCTTCCTCTCTCAGACCTAGGAGACGTCAGGTTACAGCCTCCGGTTGAGAGGCGGCCGTGGGGCTTGGGGCTGCCCCGTAGGGTTGCGGGGGCAGGGGGGACTGGGGCAGGACCCCCCCTCGCTGCTGCTGCTGGCTCCAGGAGGGATGCTCTTCCCCAGCATTGCTATGAGCTCGGAGAGGGATGCTCAGGTGGCTGGTACCCGCTTGCTGCTGGCTTCCTCCCTCCCCAAACCATCGCCCCACGGGGAGGGAGGGGCAGGGAGGGGCGATAGGCCAAGGAGCGGCCCTCCCCAGCCCCAAAACGGGGGCTCTGGGCGGGGGGGGGGGAGGTTGGTGAGCCCTGAGACGCCGGCGATAGGGACCTCAGGCAGGTGGTGGGCGCTGGGAGGTAAGTACGGCCAGCCCCGGGGGTGGGGGGACGCCTTGCTCGGGGCGAATCCAAACCCCTCTGCTGCTATTCCTACACCTCCCTCAGCCCGGACACCCCCAGGAATCACCCCCCACCACCACCACCACCAAAGCCCATCCCAGAGTCAGCCACACCACCCCCCCCCACCTCCTCCTCCTCTTCTTCCTCCCCACAGAGCCGCTCGCCACCGAGCCCCGGCTGCACGAGGGGCTCGCGGGGGTCCCCCCCGCTGCCTGCTTCCCCGGCTGCCTCTCTGCATGCCCCGCCGCCCCCCTCCACTGCGCCCCCCCCCCCCACACACACACACCGCCCCGCTCCCCCATCGCTCCCCCGCCTTTTTTCTCCCTCTCTTTTTGCAGAGAAGAAGCAGCAGCTGCAGCCCCCGAAATCTCGCCCACCCGGCCTGAAGTTTCGCCTGCAGAAGCGCCCGCGGGGCCCCTCCTGAGCCGCTGCCGTCCTCTCCATCTTTCTCAGGAACACCGCGGCCCCGGGCACCGCGCGGGAGCACGCCGGGGCCGAGCCGAGCCGAGCCGAGCCGTGCCGCCGGCCCTGGCAGCCCCTTGCTTGACAGAACTGGTTGTTGGCCTTATTTTTTAATTTTTTTTTTTTTTTTTTTTTTTTTTTTTTTTTTTTTGGTTTTAAGCACTCACCCCATCCCCATTGTTTTTATCATTGACCAGCTGACCTTGTTGTTTTGGTTTGGTTTGTTTTCCACACCACCCCCGCCCCCTCTGATTTTTACCGTGTCTGTGACATTTCCCTATCGATGAGTAAAGAGGGACTCCCGCGTCCTGGTCTTTCTTGTGCATCTTTGGTTGTCACTGTGTGTTTTTCTGCCTTCCCCGTCCGTACCGTAAGCAGGTAATGGTTGTGCCCAGGGGTGAGCCCAGGGAGAGGAGGACCCAGCCCCCGGCTCGGGCGAGGGACGGTGGATCTGCTTGCTGCTGGCCGTAGGCGCTTGCTTGGCTGGTCGCTCCCCGGAGGGCAGCGGCGCGGGGCTGGGGACCGGCGCGCACCGGGCAGGATTGGGCTGCCGTACCGGGATGCCGGCTGCCGGGCTTTCCCACCCGGCTCAGCCGCGGTCCCTCTGCTCTCTCGGCAGACAAGGACGAGTGCTCCAAGAACAACGGGGGCTGCCAGCACGAGTGCCTCAACTCCTTCGGCAGCTACGAGTGCCAGTGCCGCAGCGGCTTCGTGCTGCACGACAACAAGCACGACTGCAAGGAAGGTGGGTCGGCGCCCCAGGTGTTCCCAACCCCAGTAGGACCCCCCCCCGCCCCCCCCCCATTTCACCCATGACCCCCCCACCCCCCCACCCCCCGCTTTCCCCGCAGCCGGCTGCGACCATAAGGTGACAGCCATCTCGGGGACCATCACTAGCCCCAACTGGCCCGATAAATACCCCAGCAAGAAGGAGTGCACTTGGGCCATCACCACCACGCCGGGGCACCGCGTCAAGCTGGTAGGGATGGGGGGGGGGCAGGGGGGGAGCGGAGGGGGGCACCGAAAGGAGGTTGGGGGGGGGTCGTCCCCCACCCAGCCCCACTGAGCGCCGGCGGCTCGGCCGTTTTCCCCGCAGACTTTCTCGGAGCTGGATGTGGAGGCGCAGCAGGAATGCGCCTACGACCACCTGGAGATCTACGACGGCAAGGATGCCAAAGCGCCGGCGCTCGGCCGCTTCTGCGGAGCCAAAGAGCCCGAACCCCTCATCTCCTCCGGTAACAAAATGTTCCTCAAATTCGTCTCCGATAACTCCGTCCAGAAAAAGGGCTTCGAGGCCACCCACGCCACAGGTACCACCGTGGGGCTGGGGAAACCTGGTTATGCGTTGAGGTCGGGGAGGGGATTATGGATCCTCTTAAATGCCTGCCCACCGCTGTCGGCTTCTCCCCCCAGTGTGCGGGGGCCAGGTCCACGCCGAGGTGAAGACCAAGGACTTGTATTCACACGCACAATTTGGGGATAACAACTACCCAGGGGGCTCGGACTGCGAGTGGGTGATCATGGCCGAGGAGGGCTACGGCGTGGAGCTCATCTTCCAGACCTTCGAGATCGAGGAGGAAGCCGACTGCGGCTACGACTACATGGAGCTCTTCGACGGCTACGACGGGACGGCCCCGCGTCTCGGCCGCTTCTGCGGGTCTGGGGTGAGCTGGGGATGGGGGGGGACGGGGGGACGGGACAGCGACGGGGTGGGTCAGGGCAGGGAGAGGTGCCAGGCTGCGGGGGCGATGGGTGAAGCTGAGCCAAGCCGCAGCAGTGCGGAGAGATCCCGTGGGGGGGGGGGTTTGGGGACGGTGTGTGGGGGTGCAACGATTTTACACCCTCCCTGTTGCAAATCCCATCCACCCCCCTTCCCTGCCACGCTCACACATCCCAGGGATGCTCGTGGCTCTGAGCACCCCTCTCCCTCGCCCCGGCAGCCCCCCGAGGAGGTCTACTCGGCCGGAGATTCGGTGATGGTCCGCTTCCACTCAGACGACACCATCAACAAGAAGGGTTTCCACCTTCGCTACACCAGCACCAAGTTCCAGGACACGCTGCACACAAGGAAATGAGGGCCGGGGGTCCCCGCCCCCCCCCCCCAACCCCCGCAGGCAGGGGAGGAGGAGGAGGAGGAGGAGGAGGAAGGCAGGGAGGAGGGAAGCGGGGAGCGCTGCCCCGCACAGACTGCACGGAGGAGCACACAGCCAACCTCAGCACACAAGACACGCTCGCACGGGGCCCCGGGGCTCGGGCACCCGCGGGCACAAGGGCAGAGGATGATTGGGAGGGGAGAGGAGGGGGGGGGGGTCCCCTCTGCCAGCAGCTGCCCCCCCCAGCGCTGGGTGGGGGGGTCCCCCGAGCGGGACCTTCTCCCCTTCCTCGCCCTGGCCAAGCCGGCCGCAGCTCTCTGAATGTACAAACCAGTAACCGGGAAGAGCCCAACCCACGGAAGGTGCTGTCTCTCTCTTGTACCGATGAAATAAATACCCTTGTACTTGGAGGGGGGGCAGCCCCAGCCTCTTTGCTTCCCCCCCCAGGCAAACAGCATCCGAAACCAGTACTGGATTGGGGGGGGGGGGCGGCGGGGGGGAGCACCCCAACACCCTGCGGCAGACCCCGGGGGCTGCCCCCCCGCCCCGATTCGGCGCTGAAGGAGCGGAGCAATCAGCTAATTGCAATCTGCTTCTGCTCTGATGAGGGAGAGGCCGGCCCAGCTCTCAGAGGCAGGGTGCTGGGTGCCGGGGTCCATCGCTGATGGGTGCCACCTACTTCCCCCCCCTCCTTCTCCCCCCCCCCCCCCTCGGGGCTCCGTTTTGGGCCGCCAAAACGCAGGTAGGTGCTCACCCCACGTTTTTCGTTGCGCACCGTATGGAGGGCAGGGGAGCAGCCGGGCGAATCGCCCCGGCCGTCGTCACCCTCGGCACGGGGGTGGGTGGGTGCCACGTGCCGCAGCCACCCATGTCCTCAGGGTGGGGGGTGGGGGGCAGGCCGGGGTCCCCCGAAGCGGGCTTTGCCCAGAAGCGACGGTGATGGGCGCCAGGGCTTTGCACCCAGAAAGGTTTGTAGCTTCAGGGTGCCGAACCCAGGGTTCGGCGGCCGGGCAGGAGGGTGCCCGCGGTTGTGCCCTCGCCTCGTGCCACCCTGTTCCCCCCCAGCCCTGTGTGTGTGTGTGTGTGTGTGTGTCCCTCCCCCCAGCTCCCCCCCCCAAGCCGGATTGGGGTCCAGAGCCACTTCCCCGGGGTCCCATCAGGGGACAGAGGCGCGTGACACGGCCGGTGGCGACCGCACACAGTTTTATTGATACACCGCCAGCACAGCACAGGGATGCTCGGGGATGGGGGGGCTGGGAGGAGGGGGGGGGGGGGAGGGTGCGGAGGGGAAAGGGGGTGAAAGGAGGCGGGGGGGTGTTGTTCTCTTCTACCGTTACAGCGTGCATCGGATACACAGAGACGGGGAGCGGGCAGCCCGCGGGGGCCGGCACGCAAGCGCCATGCTGCCGACGGCTCATGCGGGGGGGCAGCGGAAATTTGGGGGGAGAGGGAGGGGGGGAACAAGGTGTGTATGGGGAGGGGGGGGGGGGGGGTGTGTCAGCTCTGTTCTCCCCACCCCAGCTCCTCCAGCTGCCTCCTGGGCCGTGGGGCCGGGGATTTGGACGGCACAGCGACGGCTAGAGCAGAGAGCGAACACGGCACAGCGCTGCACGACACGGAGGGGGGGGTGGAGGGGGGGGACACACACGCAGCCACGTTCTCCGCCCCCCCCCCCCCCCACACACACCACTGCAGACAGGCGCACCACGACTGCAGCCCTGAAGCGGCGCCGGCAGGAGTGGGGGGTCCCTATCCGAGCACCCCTCTAATCCCGGGGAGCAGTTCAAAAAACCTAGGCGGGGGGGGGGTGTGTGTGTGTGCTTCCAGCCTCTCCACCGAACCCCCCCGGGGTGGCCGAGGAGCCCCAGCCCCGGTTTGGCAGGGCCGGGGCTCCCCGGGGAGCTGTGCCGCCGGCGAGGCGGGGGAGCCCCAGAGCAGGGGGTCGGGGGGATGCGGGGTACACCGGAGGGGAAGGGGGTCCCGCAGCGGCTTCACGGCGGAGGGCAGAGCGTGGGGCTCACGCCAGCGAGGATGATGCTGGTCGGCCAGTCCAGGAGATGAAGCCTTCCTCCCACGAGGCGCAGAGCGGCACGGGCTCTGCCTCCACGCTGGGCGAGCACCCCGCCGGCTCCTTCCCCGAGTGGGCACGGGCAACGCCGCTATTTACACCGGCCGGCTCCCCCGCACCCATCCGGCTCCTCCACCCAGCAGCGTCCGTGGGAGAAGCCCCCACGGCGGGCACCCGTCCCCCTCCCCGGCCCTGCCCGCGTCCCACCCTTAACGCCCCACGCTGATGTTGCACGTCTTGCAGCTGGGGTCCTTTTTGGCGTTGGCGGTGGAGAGGCTCATCAGCTGGTGCCCGCTGATCTCCCCCAGCACGCCGAGGCTGAGGTCCACCGGCTCGGTGTATATGACCTCCAGGATGCTGTCCTGGGCATGGCGGTACACCAGCTCGCCCTCCTCCACGCAGCACGTCAGGAACTTGTTGGAGGAAATGTCCAGCTGGGGTAGACGCTCCCGGCAGAAGAGATCCCCCGAGGAACCCTTGGGTGCCAGCACCAGGACGACGTAGTGGTAGGCAGTGTACATGCAGTAGAAGTCCGCGAAGTAGAGGTTGGTGTTGGGGTTGAAGAGCCGTTGAGCCGGGATCTGGAAACGGTAACGGCCGTAGGGCGAGTCCTGGGGGGGCTGCCCGGTGTTGAATTCGGTGTTGCAGCTGAAGAAGATGCCGTGCAGCATGCCGCTGGTGGGCGAGCCGTGGCTGCCGCTGTTGTCCTTCAGCGAGGGTTTCATCACGTTCCCGCAGTGCATCCTGCGCGCAGGGGTTGGGTTGGGGCAGGGAGGCGGGGGGGACCGGGGACACGGACACACAGAGGCAGGGTCAGTGGATGCCACCCCGGGGAGGGGCGGGGGGGGGTGGCCCCAAGGTTGGGGGGGGAAGCGGGGACGGGGGGTACCTGACGTGCTGGAAATACTCCTTGTGCTGGTTGCGGTAGAAGACGGAGAAGCGCAGCATGCGGCCGGCGATCAGCTCGGCTTTCTCCTGCAGCTGGGCCAGGTGCTCTTTGGCGTAATCTGGGGACGGGGACATCAGGGCGTCTCCATCCCCCTTCCCACCCCCCCACCTCACCTCAACCATTCCCCCCCCCCCTTTTTTTTTTTTTTTTTTTTGGCAGCCCATCCCTGCCCGCAGCTCCCGTTCCCCACACCTCCCGCCTCCCACTCATCAGCTGCCGCTCCAACCGGCCCCGGCTTGTGCAAGCTCCCGGTATCGCCCCCGGTCTTCCCAGTCCCGGTCACCAAACCTTCCCCGCCGCCACCACCACCACGCTCACCCCCGGTGCAAAACTCCACCGTTTCGCTCCAGCCGGACACCAGGTACTCGCCGTCGCTTTGCTTCACCGCTGTCTGCACCGCCACGCTGTACTCGGTGCGGGGGCTCAGGAACCAGTGACCCCGCACCGTCATGGGCAGCGGCACCGCCTTGGCCACCAGTTTGGTGGGGACATCCTGCACCAAGGGGAGAGGGTCAGGCAGGATGGCATTTCCCCCCCCCCCCCCAACTCTTCCTGCATCCCTGCCCACCCCTTGCCCAGCGCCGAGGGGATGCTACTGAGTACCGTGCGCCACAAAATATCCGCAGCCGGGGTTTGCCCGCCGCCGAGACACCCCAAAAACACGGCGCTGCCATATCCCCTGCTCTGTGTGTCCCCCCTCAAATCTCCAGCCTCCTCTCCAGCTGCCCGCACCAGCCCCAAACACCTCCCAGCAAAGCTGCTGGTGGGATGGGGGGGGGGGGGAGGGGGCACAAGGTAGCACCCCGGGGGTCTCGGGGACCCCCCCCAGCTCCCGGTGGTATCTCGCGGTGTCAATAGGCCACCGAGCAGCACCGCAGTGCAGAGACGTTTCTGTGGCAACGGCGGATGCTGAAGTCGGGAGACACAGGGGAAAAAAAAAAAAAAAAAATAAATCCTACACCCCCCCCCCTCACCCCCCCCTTATTATTGGGGAGGAGAAAAAAAAAAATAATGTTAAACATTAAATAGCATCACCCTGGCAACCGTGCTGCTAAAAACGTCCTGAATTAGTGACTCGCATCCAGGGGGAGGGAGAGCGCGAGCGGTTTGTGGCTCTGCTCCCCCGCGGGGACTTGGGGAAGGAGGGGGGGGTCAGTCACACCCCGGTTCCCATCCCAGTCCCCTCCGCCAGCTGTGTCCCACAGGGGAATTTCACCCCTAATCCACGTGGGAGTGGGTTATAACCCTGTTTTCCCCCCTGAAGCCCACTCTCCTCTCCCCAGGCGGGGCGTCCCGCACCCCCCTCCCCTCTTCCCCCCAACCCCCCCCCCCCGGCTCACCCGATGCTTGAACTTGTTGGAGTTCTTGTTCTCCTTCTTGTTGAGGTCGATGAAGTAGTGGGTGACCCTCTCCAGGTCCCCTTTCTCCATGGCCCAAGAGATGCGGAAAGAATCGCAGGTGATGTTGTTGATCTCGATATTTTTGGGGGTGGAAAGCAGCTCCATGGCCGGAGGGGCTGAGCTCCTGCGGGTAAAGCAGTTGGGGGGGTGGGGGTGGGTGGGTGGTGGTGGTGTGTGTGGAATGGAGATGGGGGGGGTTGTGTGTGTGTGTGGGGGGGGGTGCTGCTGACGGCGGGGGTGCCCACTGCCCACGGTGGCAGCTGCCAGGCGGGCAACCGCCCGCGCCGGTGGCCCCCGCGGCGGAGCAGATGGCACCGGGGTGGAAAAGCGGCCGGCAGCCAGGAATAGGCAACGCAGGCAGCGGGAAACCGGGAACAAGCCCGTTCGGGAAGCGGCTGTGTGGGGGCTCCCCCCCCTCCCCGCGCCTTCTCTGCACCCTGGGGTGCCGCGGGGCCCCGGCTCCCCGCCAGCGGGTGTTTCGGGGTTTGCTCAACACCGGGTGGGGAAAGAAAAACAAGGGGAGCGGAGGGAGTGCTGGGAGAGGGGAGGGTTGCACGCAGGCGGCTGGCACCGGAAAAGCTGGATCCGCCTTAGCCCTGGCCCACGGCCGCCCTGTGCCTCAGTTTCCCCACGGCCCGGGCTGCTCTCACCCCCCCCTGCGCCTTAGGAAGCCGCTCTGAGGGGTGGGTGCGTGGGGGCTTTGAACCCCGGGGTGGGGGATGCACGGGAGCAGAGGGTGCCGTGGGTGGCTCTGGCGCTGAGGAGGATGGAGGTCGGTGGTGGTGGTGGTGGTGGGGTGTTGGTGGGTGCCCCCCCCCCCCGCCCTGCACCCTGGTGTAGGACCCCAAGGCTGTCAATGCGTCCATCTCTTCCCCCCCCCCCCCCACTCCACACGCGTCCGCCCACGGTGGCTCACACACACGCGTGTGCCCACGGTCACCCACACCCCCCCCCGCCCCAAACCCCCTTATAACACACACCCCCCCCCCCCCCAAAACCGCTGCTACAGCATCCCAACCACCACCACCGGCACAAACACCGCTCGGCGCCCACGGGCACATCCACCCGCACGCGCGGGCACGCGTGGACACCCATACACCCCCCCACACACACCCCCCCCCCCCCCCATTTTGCGCAAAGCCAGGGGGGCGAGCGGGCAAACGCGGCACACACCGGCAAAGCGCTCGACTTGCCCCCGCACCCCCCCAGTCTCCCCCACAGCACCCCAGTAGCCACGACGTCCACCCACACCCCCCCTCCCACTGCTTTCCCCCCACACTCCCCCCACACCCCCCCCCCCCCGCCGCTGTCACCCTCGGGCAGAGCAGAAGGTCACCGCTTTGGGGACAGCGTGCCAGCTCGGCGCCCCATGCCCGTCGGCACAGGGGGGGTCTCGCCCAGATTCATCCAGCTTTGCGACCGGGTTGTGATGTTCATGTCCCCCCTCTATGCCTCTGCGTGTGTGTGTCCCCCACCCCAAAAAAACAAAAAAAAAAAAAAAAAAAAAAGCAAGCCCTGCCAAGGCTCAGCCGATGGCACGGGGAAGGTTGGCGGCTCCCGGTTGTCGGTGACACGATGCCGGTGAGGCCCTTACCTGGGGGGCTGCCGGGGTGCGGTGGGGTGCTGGGTGGGCAGCGGGGCAAGGCAGGGCAGGCAGCCCCGGGGGGGCCAAGCGAAGCGGGGAGGGCAGAAGATGCCGGGGAGACCGCGGCGGTACCCGGTGATGCCGCGCTGGTGCCTGCGGCTGCTGCGACTGGGATCCTCCCAGCCAGCTCGGAAATAGCAAACACCCTTCAGAGGAGGGAAAAAAAAAAAAAAAAAAAAAAAAAAAAAAAGGGGAAAAATATATATCTAAGCAGCTGGGAGAAAAAGGGGGGGGGGGGGAAGGGGGGGGGGGTGGAAAAAGCCCTGCGTGTTCTGCCAATCGGGTGGTGGGTTGTGTGCGGCGTCAGGCAATGGAGGCAGCGAGGCGAGTGGGTGGCGGTGGGTGCAGCTTGTGGGTGGGGTGGTGGGCAGCTCCTGCCTAGAGCACACCCCCCCCCCACGCACCCCCCACAACCCACCCCCCCCTCAATATTTTGGGGCTAAAGGGGGTGTCCTGGTTGTGGGACAAGCGGGACGCGCACGTACACACACACACGGAGCCCTCAGAACGGGGTGCATTGGCTGCGGGGGGATGCTGGCACCCACGCGGGACCCCCCCGAGGGAAATGTGGGTGCAAAGCAGTGGGGCTGGGGGGGGGGGGGCTTGCTGGTTTGCTGCTGTGGGGGACACGCTTGTCTGGGGGTGGGCATGGTTTTTCTGGGGTGGGAGGGCGAGACCCCCCCCCCCCCCCCCAAAAATCTCATTGCCACCCAGACCCCCGAGAGTGTGGGGTGCCCACGCATGCTTCTCCCGTGGGGCTGTAGCCTCGTTGTGTCCCCCTCCCCCGTGCTGCAGGGGACCCTGGAGGGGGGTGGCTGCAGCCCAGGCAGCCGAGGGGGGTGTTCAAATGAAGGGGTGACTGACCCCCCCCCCCCCCCCCGCACCCACTGTCCCCCTCCTGCACTGCCCACTGTGCCCCGTCCCGCGGGCCGGGCATTGCCCGCCACAAAGATGGCGCCGCCACCTTCCACAGGAGGGGCGGGCAGCGCCAGGCACAAAGATGGCGGCTCACCGGAGGGGAGCGGCGCGCCCTCAACAAAGATGGCGGCAGCGGCGTCTTTCCGGGAAGGACGGGAGGGGGTGGGAATTCTCTGTGTACGCATGCGCGGTGGGGCTGCGAGCCCGTGGTTGCCCGGGCAGGGTGAGGGGCGGCGTGGCGTGGGGGGGGGGGCGTGGGGGGAGCTGCTCGGGCGCGGGGTGGGGGCCGAGGGGCGAGGCGAGTGGGTCTAGGGGGGTGTGCATGGGGGGCTGAGCGCCCTGGGGAGGCGGCTGCGAGTGGGCCCTCTTTGGCGGTGCATGGGGGTGGGTGGGTCCTGGGGGGTACAAAGGGGGGGGGGGGGGGTGAGCCCCTTGGGGTGGGGTGTGCGAGTGGGCTCTGTTTGGGGGTGTATGGGGGGGGGCTGAGAATACAGGGGAGCGAGCTGCAAGTGGGTGCTGGGGAAGTGCGTGGGGAGGGGGATACGAGTGAGCCGTGTTTGGGGGGGGCTGAGCCCCCCTGGGAGGGGCGGTGGGAGGGGGTGAATTGGCCCTTTTTGGGGGTGCAGGAGGGGTGAGCCTCCAGGGGAGGGGCTGCAAGTGGGTTTGTGGGGGGGGTGAGCACTTAGTGGTGGGGTATATGGGTGGGCTGTGTTTGGGGAGGGGGGGGCTGAGCCCCTTGTGTGGGGTGTCCTTGATTGTATGTGTGTCGTTCCCCCCCACCCTTTTCTCCCCACAGGGCCGAGGATGGCAGAGGGGGGCTCGAGTGACACCGGCTCACCCAGCAGCCTGCGGCCAGGGGTCCCCGGGGCACGGGGGCTGCTGGGGAGACGCCCGGCCGCCCCCCCCCCTCACCCCGGGGCGCCTGCCCTCCATCCGCTCCCGAGACCTCACCCTGGGAGGGGTCAAAAAGGTGAGCACGCTGAGGTGGGCTCCCCCGAAACGACCCTTTTAGGGGGTCACCCTGCGTCCCGCCCCACCACTGGAGGTCTGGGTGCTGGGGGACCCCCCCACCCCAGCATCGCTGGGGTGCGAGGAGGGACCCCAGGAGTGGCAGCCCGCGGGGTTTTGAGGAGCGCGTCCGTGCGGGACGTGGCCGGGTCCCCAGCCACCTCCGCTAGCCCCGCGGCCGGTTTGGTTTCTGTTGCTTATCTCCGCTCGTGCAGTGACTTGTCCCTCTGCTCTCGTCTGCAGAAAACCTTCACCCCCAACATAATTAGCAGGAAGATCAAGGAAGAGTAAGTGGCCTCGTAAGCGTTTCCATGGGGTGCGGAGGCGGTTTTGCCGGCGGGCACCTGCCTCTTAGGGTCTCGGTGGGCAAAACGTGCCCTGAGAGGGGGAACCTGCTGCCAGGGGGGTGGCGGGGGACAGGGGTGAGGGTGACGGGCCACCTCCCCGCTCCCCAGGCCCAGAGAGGATGTCTCCTGTCAAGAAGGAGAAGAAGGAGCGGGAGCGGGACCGGCAGCGCGACGGGCACGGCCGGGGCCGGGGCCGGCCCGAGGTTATCCAGTCCCACTCCATCTTCGAGCAGGGCCCTGCTGAAATGATGAAGAAGAAAGGTAACGGTAGCTGCACCCCCTTTTTCCTCAGGGGAGGGTCTTGGGGTCATCCTGCCCAGCTCGGGGCTCACCCCAGGGCTGCTCCCACCCCTCCCCAGCCGGCTCCTGGGACAAGACGGTGGATATGTCGGATTTCGGCCCTTCCCACATCATCAACATTAAGAAGGAGAAGAGGGAGACGGACGAGGAGACGAAGCAGATCCTACGGATGCTGCAGAAGGATGACGTGAGTGGGGAACGGTTGGGGTGGCTTCGGTGCCGCCGGGCCGGCGCTGAGTGTGTGTCCCCCCCCCGTCCTGTCCCCGCAGTTCCTCGACGATCCGGGGCTGAAGAACGACATCCGGAACAAGCCGGTGCAGCTGCCGCTGGCCCACTCGGGCTGGCTTTTCAAGGAGGAGGCGACGGAGCCAGAGGACCCCCAACCCTGGCTGCCCGTCCCCAAGGAGGAGAAGATGGAGCTGGACCCGCCGGCGGTGAAAGGTGCGCTGGGGTGGGGGAAAACCTGGTGGAAAGGGGCTGAGGGGGGCTGCCCCCCCTTCCCCACGCCCACCCGCCGCCTCTTGCCCCCGGTGCCAGTGAAAGAAGAACCGTGTGATGAGGACCCCTTGGCCAAACCGGTGCAAACCAAGGGCCCCCCCGGTTTTCCCCGAGATGTTTCGGTGGCCGAGCTGCTGCAGCGGTTGAGTCTGTCGGCCGAGGAGGAGCTGCTCTTCCTGCAGCTGCCCGACACGCTGCCCGGCCAGCCGCCCACTCAGGACACCAAACCCATCAAGACGGAGCTGCAAAATGAGGAAGGACAAGTGGTCGTGGTGAAGCAGGAGAAGAGCCAGGTAGGGGGGGCTCGGGGTGGGGTGGGGGGACAGCGTGGTGATGTGTGTGTGTGTGTGTCTCCCCCCCCCCAAATGCCACGGTGTCCCTCGGCAGGAGGCGAGGCAGGTGGAGAATACCTGCACCCTGGCCGACCTCCCCGAGGGGCAAGTGGGGAAACTGCTCATCCGCAAGTCGGGGAAGGTACAGCTGGTTCTGGGCAAGGTGACCTTGGACGTGACCATGGGGACCCCCTGCTCCTTCCTGCAGGTATGGGGCACGGAGGGGTGGGGGGCAAGGACTCAATTTGTGGGGCTGCACCCCAAGATAAATCCTTAATGCTGGTGAGCTGGCTCTCGGGCCGCTCATAGGTGGGGAGGGATCCTGCTCAAAGTGTGGGCAGCGGGGGGGTGCGTCCCCTCTGGGCTTGGCCCCTCCACGTCAAGCAGGGAGCTCGGCCCTTCTCCCACCACCGTGAAAGGGTTTCCCGTGGGAGTGGGCTGCTTACGGGTGTTTCTCTCCTCTGGAAAAGGAGCTGGTGTCCGTCGGCATCGGGGACAACCGCACGGGTGAGATGATCGTCCTGGGCCATGTGAAGCACAAGCTGGTGTGTTCCCCGGATTTCGAGGCTCTGCTGGAGCACCGGCACCGGTAGCCCCGGCTGGAGGTGGGGGGGTCCAGCCCCACAGCCCGTGGGTCCCCCTGCACTGCTCGGGGACCCTGCAGCCCCCCAGCCCCTCCAGCCTTGCCTTCGGGATATGGAGAGGTGTCTTCTGCAGGCGTGGGCGCAAAGCTGGCTCCAGCCTCCTTCCCAGCCCTGCAGTGGAGCAGCGCCGGGGCTGGGGGGGGGCTCCGGCTCTGCCTCCCAGACCCACTGCCCCTCCCTCTGCGAAAGGAGCACAGGCCGTGGCCACCCCCATCTCACAGATTTCTGGACCGTGGTGTGTCAGCCCCCCCCCCCCCCAAGCTCTCCAGCAGCCGTGCACACGCTGGGGAGAGCAGGACACATGCCTCGGGGGGGAGAAATGTGGAATAAAAACCTCTTTTTTTTTTTCTCCCCCTCCCTGCCCTGAGTGGGGCTGCTCTGTCTCCTCCGCCTCGTGCCGCCTGCCCCCCCCCCCCGGTTGTCCCCTGTCCCCGGCGTGGCACACGGGGCCACATCCTCGGCAGCTGACTCACCCCCTGCTCCCTTGGGGGAGTCGGGGGGTGCCCCCCTCCTTGCGCTGCGAGGGCTGGGTGAGCAGACCTGCAGCCTCTCCAGCCCCGTCCCCCCAGGGCTGTGCAGGGTGGAGGTGGGTGGGGGACAACCCCCCACCACCCCGGGGACCGGTGTTGGGACTTTGGGGTCCCATGTGGTGCTGCAGCATGGGGAGGGGGGATGATGATGATGGGGAGGGGGGACACACACACCCCATCCCCCAGCCATCTGCCACCACGGAACCAAATCCTCCCTGGATGCCCCCCCCGCTCTGGGGAGCACTGGGTGGTTGTGCAGAGCGGGGCTGGGGCTTCCCCCCCCCCCCCCCAGTATCGCAGCAGCCCCCCCATGACCACGCCCCCATTGACCACGCCCCCCCTTCGTGGCCACGCCCCCCAAATCGCCGGGCGCTCTCCGCGGTGCTGAACCCGCCGCCGTGGAGTGGGGGGGGCGTGGCCAGCGGGCTGCCCGCTCCGCGTGGGCGGGGCCGCGCCTGCGCGGTGAGCGCGGCGGCGGCGTGCTCGGCGGTGCCCCTCGACGGGGCGGCCATGGAGTCCTCTCGGTCCTTCCGCCGGCCCGGCCCCGGCCCCGGCCCGGCCCCCGCTCCCCCGGCCGGGCTGCGTGGGGTGGGACTCCCGGGACGTGTTCAGCGCCTTCCCCAGCCCAACCTCCCCCAGCGCCAGCCTGCCCTCGTGCCGCTCTCCACCCTGCTGTGCGACCTGGGCCTCGCCGAGCGGCCGTGCCCCTCGCTGGAGGTGGGCGACTGGCCCATCGGTAGGTGCTTGTGCCCGGGGAGGTGGGGGGGGGGGGGGTCACACACACCCCCCTCCCCATCTCACAGCCACCCGCCGTGCCGCCCTCCCCGCAGGCCGCGGCGCCGCTGGCACGGCGAAGGCGCTGGCACAGCCCAGCCTGGCAGCGGAGGATGATGAGGGAGTGGCGGTGCTCCCCCCACGCGGGCGGTGAGTCCCCATGTGCGGGTGTGTGTGTCGTCCCCCCCCCCCCCCCCCATTCCCCTCCCGCCTCAGCCTCGAGTCACGGTTGTGACCGAGCTGCTGCCCGCCCCGCCAAAAAATCGGTGTTTTGAGCATCTCTCGGCACGCAGTGTTGGGGGGGGGGGGGTGTGTGGTGTGAGTGGAATTACAGCGGGGGTGCTGGGGAGGGCTGTCACCCGTGGCGGGGATGGGGGGACATCACAGGACCCCTCTCACCTCTCCCCGGGGATGTGCAGGGTGCTCTGGCGAGGGAGAGGGGACCCCCCCCCGGGGAGAGCCGCCTGCCCTGCCAGCCAGCAGGAAGCTTTGCGCCGCTGCTACGCCCACCCCGATCCCGCTGGGACCCCGGCCCTCCCCGGCGACCCCCCCGGCTGCCGGCAGACCGTGAGTGCGAAGCGTTGGTGAGCCCCAGCCCCCGCGTTTGGGCGTGGGAGTGCTGGTGGGGGGTTTGGGGGGGGGGGGGGGTGTGTGTGTGTCATATCTTTGCCGCTTCTCTCCTAGGGCAGCGGGGACGAAGGGAACCACGCTAGCCGTGGGGCTGAACTCGGTTAAAATCCACTGCCAGAACGAAGCCGTCTACCAGTACCACGTCACCTTCAGGTATCGGCGGGGGCGTGGGGGTCCCCCGCAGCCCCTCGGCGGGGGGGGGGTGTCCCCGGGGTGAAGCCCTCCCTGCCTCCCCGTCCCAGTAGCCACTAGATGGAGCGGCCGGCACGGCCACGGTGCCTCTGCAAAGCAAACGAGCTCCAGCTTTTCCCCCCTCGAGGCGGAGTTGAGGGGGTTTGGGGGGAGGGGTCCTGAGTGGGATCTGGCTGGGGGGGGGGGGGTGGGGGGAAGGGGGGGTTAAAAGGAGGCAATGCATCCCCGGCCAGCCCTGAGGTGGAGTGCAGGAGCGCGCGCTTCACAATGCTGAAGGAGCACCGGGCGGTGACCGGGGACGTGACCGCGTTCGATGGCTCCATCCTCTACCTGCCCATCCTGCTCCCCCAGGTAAGGGAGCGACCGTGCCCCCCAACCCCGCCCGGGGGGAGGCTGTTCTACCCCATTTAGAGGCACGGGGGATGCCTCTCCTGCGGGTCTCCAGCCCCCGTGCTGGGGAGGACAGCAGCCCTCCCTCCCCGCAGCTGGTCAGTTTGAAGGCTCAGAGGAGGAGCGACGGGCAGGAGATCACCATCACCATCCAGATCACCAAGGTCCTCGAGCCCAGCTCGGATCTCTGCATCCCCTTTTACAACGTGGTTTTCCGGAGGTGAGAGATGGCAGAGACCCTCCCCGAGCTTCACGGAGGAAACCCTCCTCCTCCTCCTCCTCCTCCTCCTCCTTCTCCCTCCGAGCCTGAGCCCGTCCCGCTTTTATTTTCCTTCCCTAGGGTGATGAGAATTTTAGATATGAAGCATGTTGGGAGAAATTTCTTTGAACCTGCTCAGGCCAACGTATTACAGCATTACAGGTGGGTGCTGGACACGGGTTTTTCCTGCCGCTGCGCAAGCACATGGGTGCGAGGCGGGGATGTCCCTGTCCCCCCCTCCGGCAGCCGTGAAAGGCTGGAAATTCAGAAGTCTTTGCCAGGTTAGCCTGACCTCAGAGTGCCTGTTTTCTGCAGTGCGATTCAGGGGTTATTAGCTGAAAGCTGGCAGCCAGCTGGGAAATAAATCCCGGTGTGTTTTGAGCGCTCCTTGGCGAGCGGGACGGCTGCCCAGCTCCTCTGGCCGGGCAGGCGGCTCCGGTTTTTAACCCAGGCGCCGTCGGGCGTCTTCCCCTGCGGGCACAGGCTCCAGATTTGGCCGGGATACTCTGTCAGCATCCGGAAAAAAGACGGCGGCCTCTTCCTCTTGGTCGACGCCATCCATAAAGTCATCCGCAGCGATTCCGTCCTGACTTTCATGTAAGAAAAGGGGAAAACAAAACAAAACAAGAAAACCCTGTGGGGGGTTTAGGGCTGAGGGTGGTTTTCCAGCAGCCACGTGCCCAGCGCTGGCTGTTGGCGAGGGCAGTGCCAGCCGTGATCTGTGCCACGGGACACCGGTGCCGTTTGGCAAAAGGCATTTAATTTAGGGGGGTAAAACGGGCAGGGAGCATCACCGTGAGTCTCTCCTCTTGGCTGCAGGCACACCATTTACAAGAAAAACCTCAGCAGCTTCCAGGACGAGTGCACCAAGCAGCTGGTGGGCAACGTGGTCATCACCCGCTACAACAACCGAACCTACCGCATCGATGACATCGACTGGAATATGACTCCGAGGGACAGTTTCACCCTGGCCAGTGGCGAGGAAATCACCTTCGTGGACTACTACAGGTAGGGACCTGATGGAGCATCCCTTGGGATGAGCATCTGTCCGTGGGGAAGGGCTGGACGCCCGGCTCTGACCCGAGGTGGGTGAGCAGGAGCAGGAACGTTTCGCCTGATGTCATCTCCCTGCCATTTTTTCCAGTAAAGCTTACGGGATCACCATCAGGGAGCTGGACCAGCCGCTGCTTGTCCACAGGCCCAGGGAAAAACAGACTGCCGGAGGGGAAGGTGAGCCAGGCCCGGAGACCTGGGGAAGGGAAATTGAGACCCGTGGTCTTTTCTTGGCTCCTCCAGCCCCTGTCCTGGCTGTCGCTGGGGAGGGCAGGGGCTTGCAGCCCCCCTCGGGGTGCTGACGGGGCCTGTCCCCATCCCTGCAGCGTCGGCTGGACATGGTACTGCTCGTGCCGGAGCTCACCTTCATGACCGGGGTCCCCGAGATGGGGAAAGACAGTCGCATGGTGAAGGTCAAAGCGCGTTTGCATCTGATGGTCCCCGCTCACCCGAGTTTGGAGAGCTGATCCCCAGCCAGTCGCTGCTGGGGGCGGGGGGGGGGGGAAGCTCAGAGCCCCCCCATCCCACCCTGGGGGGGGGGGGCGTTCCCCTCACCTGCCTCCCTCCCGTGCCCGCCCGCTGCAGGACGTGATGCGGGAGATGCTGCAGAGCCCCAAGCAGCACTACACGCGTCTCACCGGCCTCCTGCGCAGGATCCAGGACAGCCCAGGAGGCCTCGCGGGAGCTGATGCTCTGGGGGCTCAGCCTGGACTCGGATATCCACAGGGTAGGGGCGGCGGGGGGGGGGTGAGGGGGGGGGGGCCGGGCTCCGAGCTTCCCCCTCCCCGGGAACGACGGCGCCGGAGCTTGTTTTTTGTGGATTTTTGTGGATTTTTGTTCCGCTCAGATCCAGGGCCGAGTTCTGCCCCCGGAGAGGATCAACCTGCGGCACAGCTCCTTCGTCCCCGCCAAGGACCTGAGCTGGAACAAGGAGGTCACGCGAGAAGCCTCCATCTCGGCGGTGAGCCCGCGGCTCGGCCGCTGCAACAACATCCCCCTTGTTTGAAAACTGGGATGGGTTTTCTTAGTGCTGGCAGCCCGTCCGCCCCGCTCCTGCCTGAGCTTGCTCGAGCTAAAACCCTTCCCTTATTTATATTGGCTTTATGCTTCAGCCTGTTTTTCCAAAGGAGGTTAGAGGTACGCGGCCGCGGCGTCTGCTTTCCCACCTCCTCCTGGAGCGGCCGAAGGTTTTCAGACTGCAGAAATCGAGTGTTTTCTGCCCTTTAGGCTCTTCCGGGGCCTCTTGCCGCCTCCCAAATTTCCCGCTGTGCTTGCGGGGCTGGGAGCCACGTGCAGCTGCAGCCTCGAGGCAAGGGCTCTCCTCCCCGCCTCCCTCCTAGGTCACCATGAATTACTGGTTGCTGGTTTACCCGAAGCGCCTGCAGGACCTGGCGAGGGATTTGGTGGCCGCCCTGGAGAGCGTCTGCGGCCCCCTCGGCATGCGCGTCAGCCGGCCCGCCGTGGTGGAGCTGAAGGACGACCGCATCGAGACCTACGCCAGAACGATCCGGAGCGTTTTGGGCAGCGAGGTGAGGAGAGGGGAGGGGGGGGGGGGTTTAGCACAAAGCTAACACGTCTGCTGGGGGGGTGGGGGGGAGAGGCCGGTGCAGCCTGGAGGGGGGGGGGCAGGTTTTCTCCACCTTTCCCCGTGCATCCCATGCTCACGCATCGCCCTCGCCTGCTGTGCTTCCCCGCAGGAAAAGGTGCAGCTCCTCCTGTGCATAATTTGCAGCAGCCGGGAGGATTTGTACGCGGCCATCAAGAAGCTGTGCTGCGTGCAGTCCCCCGTGCCTTCCCAGGTAGGCGAGGTGGAAGGGGACCACCGGCGCTGGGAAGCCGTGAGCACCTCCAGCCTCATTTTTCTCTTTTTTTTTTCCCCCCCCCCCCCCCCCCTGCACCGCTGCAGGTCATCAACGCGCAGTCCCTTGCGGGCCAGCCGGGCAAGATGAGGAGCGTGGTCCAGAAAATCCTGCTGCAGATGAACTGCAAGCTGGGCGGCGAGCTCTGGGGGGTCGACATCCCCCTGGTAAGGGGGGCAGAACCGCTGCGACGACTTTGCGAGCTCCGGGGTGTGAAGGGCCACGGGTTTCCCCCTGGGAATGCGGAGGAACCGTCTGGAGAATCAGGGCTGGTGTCCCCATGTTGTGCGATGTCCCTCGCAGCTGGAGGGATCCAGGCAGGGCAGCTTGGAGGTTTCTGACTTCTCCCTAACTCCCACCACCCTCTTTTTTTTTTTTTTTTTTTTTTTTTTTTTTTTCCCTTCCAACCCCAGAAACAGCTGATGGTTATCGGTATGGACATCTACCACAGCCGCAGCAAAGGGATGCGCTCCGTCATCGGCTTCGTGGCCAGCATGAATCAGTACGTGGGGTCCTCGGGGGGGAGGAAGGCTTTCCTCCCGCTCCTCCCTGGGGATGGGGGCTCCTGCCCCAGCGTCCCCACCGCCTCCCCTTTATTGGAAAAGGGGCGAAGCTGGTGCCTTCCCCGACGTGCTGCGCTCAGCAGGGTCTCCGCCGGCGTGTTTGTGTGGGGCCCCGCTGGGGAAAAGCCCCGCGGGCGCCGAGCCGGGGTCGGTTTGGGTTGCAAAACGGCTGGGTGGACTTTGGCTGGTGAGAAGGGGGGTGGGGTGGGGTGCCTGAATCTTTGTGTGTGTGTGTGTGTCCCCTCTCTCTGTCCCCAGCATCCTCACCAAGTGGTACTCCAGGGTGGTCTTCCAGATGCCCCACCAGGAGATCGCCGACAGCCTGCGGCTCTGCCTGGCCGATGCCCTCCAGCACTTCTACGAGGTAAGGCCAAACCTGCCCCCTCCCCACAGCAAAAACCCTCCCAAACCCCCCCCCACCCCACAGCAAAAGCCCTCCCGGGATTTAACTTCTCCTCAAAATAAAGGAAAAACACTCCAGACCTCACAGCCTGCGAGCAAACCTCCCGGGCAGCCTTTGGACTGGATGTGTCCCCGCAGCCACGCGTCCCCGGTGCGGGGAGGGGGGCTCACCCTTATCTCAGGAAGGTCCAAAATTCCCTGGAGGATTAGTTTGCACCGGGGGGAGGGGGGGGAAGCGCCACGTTATGCCTCTGCTCCTATCAGCAGCAAACTGCTGAGCCCTCTCCTCTCATCCCCAGCGTGGGGGCCAAAACCCGCTCTTGGGGTTTTCCCACCCCTCTGCGGGGGCTGCAGAAACACCCCCTGGAAAGTGGAAGTTTGCTGATCGCTGGCCCGCGGGCGGGATTAGTGCAAACGCTGCTTCTCTCTGCCCCGCCAGCTTTTCTGAAACCTGTTTTAAAATGAATTTGCTGAGGGCACCAGGGGCTTCACGCGTGGTTTGAATTCCCAGCCTGCCTTAAGTCTGTCCACGCAGCGAGACTTGTCGGCCCTGGAGACTTGGAGGGCCAAGCTTCGTGCCAGGGCGTGCGTCTCCCCTTGCCAGCCAGTCCTGTGCGTGTGGGGGGGGGGAAAAAAAAGACAGCGAGCTCTTCCAATTTCTCCTTCCCCAGATGAACCACTGCTTGCCCAAAAAAATAGTCGTGTACAGGGACGGCGTGTCCGACAGCCAGCTCGACACCGTGCTCAAGTACGAGATCCCGCAGATGCAGAAGTGCTTCGACACCTTTGAGAACTACCAGCCCAGCATGGTTGTTGTGGTGGTGCAGAAACAAATCAGCACCAACTTTTACACCCTCACAGAGGAGCAGTTGGTGTCCCCTCCTCCGGGGACGGTCATCGACCACACGGTCACCAGCTCGGAGTGGTGAGTGGCAGCGGTGGCAACGCCGGCTGCTTTAGGGAAAGCTAAAAAAAAAAAAAAAAAAAAAATCCTTTTATGCAAAAAAAAAAAACAAACGTGCTAAAAATCCCCACCTCATTCTTCCCTCCCTCTCAGGCAGGATTTCTTTTTGTTGGCCCATCACTCTCGCCAAGGCTGCAGCATCCCCACGCGCTACGTCTGCGTGCTGAACACGGCCAACCTCAGCTGCGAGCACCTGCAGAGGTAAGGGCAGGTTTCTGCAGCCCCCCTCCTGCAGTCTGACACCCCTCACACCCCCCCAAAAATCTGGGCTTTTTTGCAAAACAGCCCCCTGGAGCTAGCGGGGAGGGGCAGCAGGTACCTGTGCAGGCACTGGGCTGAGGCTGGTGTTTGTTCTGGGTTGGCTGGGACAGCGGGTGAGGAAGAGGAGGCAGATTGCATCCCTTTTGCAATTAGCTCTCACCCAGAGAGTGTCAGAAGGGAAAAATGCGTTGCTCAGTGCAGGCCTTGCAGGAGAGCTGCTGCGGGTTGGAGCACAGCTCCAATAGTCCCCGGGTAATTAGTGCAATCAGCCGTTATCAGTGCCCGGGCAGAGCCTGACCTTTAATTCCTGCAATCAGGAAGAAAACACTCGGGCGAGCGCGCTTTGCCTTGCAGCTTCCCCGCTGCTGGAGCACGGCGAGGCCGTAGGGAGCAGGATGCGGCCCCGAAGCAGGGTGTTGGGGAGCACTAACCCCCCCCCCCCCTTCTCTCGCTGTCCCCAGGTTGACTTTCAAGCTTTGTCACCTGTACTGGAACTGGCCGGGCACCATCCGGGTCCCTGCCCCGTGCAAGTACGCGCACAAGCTGGCTTTTCTCTCGGGGCAGGTCCTGCACCACGAGCCCAGCACCCAGCTCTGCGACAAACTCTTCTTCCTATAGGCAGGGCGCTGGCAACGGGGGGAGGAAGGGCTCACTTTGGGGTTCAGCTCCCCCAGCCACTGCTGTTGAGTGTCCTGCAAGGGGGACTGTCTTTCCTTAAATGTGTTTTGTTTTGTTGTTTTCCATTTATTTATTTCTGCATGTGGTTTCTCAGGTTCGTTTTTATCATTTTAAAAGGATGCTCAGAAGCGCTCCGGCGCGGCCCCCGGCGCCGTGGGCTCTGGGGATTCATCTCCACGGGAATGAACCCGGAGCAAAACCCCGCTGCTGCGGGGCCGCCAGCCTCTACCCACTGGTTTCCAGTCCTCCCAGCAAAGGGGTTTGTGTAAATGAGCCCCAGAGGTGATGCTGCTCCCACAGCACAGGCTGCGGCTCATCCCTGCCCGCCCCCCTGCCCTGTGCAGGTGTTGGATGCAAAAAAAAAACCCAAAGATTTCTGGTATTTTTTTTCCCCCCAATCTTTTTCACTGTCATCAAGACAGCCGCCAGTTTAAAATTTTACTTTGCTTTTTCGAGCTCTTGTTTAATAAACCCAGCTCCAATTTGGCTGGTTGTCACAGCCTTAAGAATTCAGTGCTTTCCTAAGGAGAAGCTTTCATTATTTTTTTTTATTATTCTGTTGGGCTGGTAGAGGAGCAGGTCCCTATCTCGAGAGACAAAAATGTGTTTGAGTTTTCAGCTATTTCAGGAGTTTCTTTACCATGGTCAAGAGTGTGTTTGAGACCTTTTTTTTGGGGGGGGGGGGGGGGCAGGGCTGTAACTGTAGTTTTCAGTTCACTTCAATAAAATTGTTGCTGGCAGCTGCTCGCTGGGGGTGTGGGTTGGGTGCTTGGGGGTACATCCTGACCCCCCCTTCCCCGCCCCTGCTCTTTCCTGGGGGGTCCCAGGGTGGAGGGGACGGGGCAGGGGCAGGCAGGGAGCCCTTCACTGTGTCCTTTGGGCTCTGGGTTAATCATTTACCCTCCCCCCCCCCCCCCCCCCAAGCCGATAGCAGCTTTTATCCCCTTTTATTTGCCGGTCCCGATGGACTTTGGCAGCTTTCACCCAGCCCCAGCTGGTGTTTTGGCGCAGGGTGAAGCTTGGCCCCGAGCGATTGGGGGGTGCTGGGGATAAAATGGGGGGGGGGAGATGGCTTGGGGCACCCAGCTGGGCCCCCAATGTGCTCGGCTCCCCCCCCCCCCCCCCCCCCAGTTAGCTTTTTATATCGTGTCGCTATGGGCAGGGAGGAAGGCTGCCGTGTCCTCGCTGGCTCCTTGGCATGGGGACAGAGCCAGGACAGAGCCTGGCTGGTGGGCTCAGCCCCCCCGGCCCCCCCCCCCCCCCCCCAAGTCCCTTCCAAGGGGGGTCATGGGGTGCCCTGGCCCCCCAGGAGAGGTCTGTGGGGTGCTCCATGCCCCCAAAGAGTGTTTGGGGGGGTCCGTAGGGTGTCCCATGCCACCAAGGGGGGGTCTGTGAGGTGCTCCATGTCCCTAAGGGGTGCCTGGGGGGGGGGGGGGGGGTCTGAGGGGTGCCCCATAATCCCACGGGGTGTTTAGGGGGGGCGGTCCATGCCCCAAAACAGTGCTTAGGGGGGGTCCTCCCGCACCAATGAGGGGGGGCTGTGGGTTGCCCCGTGCCCCTAAAGAGTGCTTGGGGGGGGGGGGGTGTCTGAGGGGTGCCCCATAACCCCAAGGGGTCCCTGGAGGGGGTTCCTGGGCATCTGTGGGGTGCCCCGTGTCCCCAAGGGGTCCCGGGGGGGGGGTGTCCATAACCCCAAGGGGTGCCTGTTCGGTGCCACATCCCCGGGGGGGGGGGTCTCTGTGGGGTGCTCTATCCCCACGGGAGGGCTCCGGGGGGGGTCCCGCCCCCCCCCGCGGTGCTCGGCGCTGCGCACCCCCCGGGGGCGGGGCGAAGCCGCGGCGGGGGGCGGGCCCCGCCGTGACGTTGACCAATGGGAACGCTCCCCGTGCCGCCGGCCGAGCGTGCGCCCTGCGTGGCCGGGAGCGGGCGGCGGCGGCGGCGGCGGGAGCGGGAGGTAGGGCCGGGACCGGGACCGGGACGGGACCGGGATGGAATTGGAATTGGAATTGGAATTGGAATTGGAATTGGAATTGGGATCGGGATCGGGATCGGGCGGGGAACCGGCTGCGGGGACGGGGCGTCGCGGGGAGCGGGCTGGGGCGGGCCCCGAGCCGGGGATGGGGATGGGGGAAAGGATGCAGGGAAAGATGAAGGGACCGGCTATGGGGCTTGGGACCGGTTTTGGAGTCTGGGATCGCTCCTAAAACCGGTCATAGGGCCTGGGGAAAGGTTTTGGGCTCCTTTTGGGGCTGTCCGCGGGGTCTGGGGACGGGTAGGGGCGCAGGCAGCGGTGGGGTGTGGGGAGAAGCACCCAGCTGTGGGGAGAAGCACCCAGCTATGGGGAGAAGCACCCAGCTGTGGGGAGAAGCACCCAGCTGTGGGACAGAGGACCCAGCTATGGGGAGAAGCACCCAGCTGTGGGGAGAAGCACCCAGCTGTGGGACAGAGGACCCAGCTATGGGGAGAAGCACCCAGCTGTGGGGAGAAGCACCCAGCTGTGGGGAGAAGCACCCAGCTGTGGGACAGAGGACCCAGCTATGGGGAGAAGCACCCAGCTGTGGGGAGAAGCACCCAGCTGTGGGGAGAAGCACCCAGCTGTGGGACAGAGGACCCAGCTATGGGGAGAATCACCTAGCTGTGGGGAGAAGCACCCAGCTATGGGGTCCGGCACCACCAGTGCAAGCTGTGGGGCTGGGCTGGGACCAGGCAAAGCTGGGGCAAGGGGGCAAAGGGGCCAGGGAGCGGCTGTGGGATGGGGCCTGGCGTTGGGATGGGGTGGCAGCGGGTGGGTCCAGCATAGGGCGGTGTGTGTGGGGGGTACTGGGGGGCCCATGTGGGGTGGGATAGCTGGGGTAGGTTCTGGAAAGCCGGTTTTGCTGCCTGCACCAGGGCATGCGGGCCGGGGTTTAGGGGAAATTAAGGGACGAGAAACTGGAGGTAGCTTTGGGGGGCGGGGGGGGGGACACGCTGCTGTCCCCCCCTCCCAGGGCACAGACGTGCTGCCGGGCACGGAAACCCTCCCTGCTTTTGCTGCCAGACACGTGGAACGGCTTTTGCTCCGGAAGAAGGTCGGGACCGCTGGTTGCAAACCTCCCTGTCAGGAGGGAGGAGAAGGGGGGGGCGGGGAGGGGGCGCAGACCGGTGGGGTTTTGAGGGTTCCCGCTGCCCCTTCCCCTCCAGGTTTGCAACAGCGAGCTATCCCTGCGTGGGATTTCGGGAAACCTCTGGCGCGGGGCTGACGTTGCCGGGGCCGTGCTCGGCTTTGCCAGCGTTTCTTGTTCCCGGCGTCACCTTCCCCGGTGGGAGGCGGGGATGGTTTGCAGCCGGGATCGATGAGCTTTGGGAAACGAACCCGGGGGGGACGCGGGAAAGGAGAGAGGGCGTTTTGCCTGGCCCTGGCAGCTCCGCCGTGGCCGCCGGGCATCGCTCCCGTGGCAGAGGTTTGTTCCTCCTGCCCCATCCCAGCGCGGCAGCGAGCGATAAAGTAGGTCAGGCGCTGGGCCGTGCGCGGCACCGCGGGTCCCGTGGCCGGCGAGAGGACGCCCTTGAAGGTAGCGGGTAGGAGGCTTGGGGGGGGGTGGGGGGTGTTGGGCTACAAGGGGGGGGTCCCCGCTCAGCCCCGGCGGCGGTGATGGAGAGACCGCAGCAGCGGGTTGTGCTGCAGCTCCCCTTTGCACCCGGGATGTGGTTGGCACCCTCCTGCCTTGCCCTGAGCTCCCCGTGGTGTTTGGGGGGGGTGTGGTGGTCTGGGAGCCCTGGGTTGTTCCTCTTTGAGCCTTTCTCTTCCCAAAGGGCAGCTCCTCCACCTCGTTTCTGCCCTAAAACTGCGGCGAGCCTGTGCAATTCAAACCTCTTGCCCTGCTCTGCCTGCAAACCGCTTCCTGCCTTTTGTTTGGCAGCTGGGTAAAAGTTGAGGTCCGGTTTTCCACCCTGGGTGTGCCCGGCTCAGTCTGGTTTTGGGAGAAACCCCAGGGGTGATTTTTTTTTTTTTTTTTTTTTTTTTTTTTGGCGCTGGAGAGGGCTGCGTGCCCTGGCACAGGCTGGTGATAATCGCTGTGCTCCGGGCAGGATGGTTCCCGGTGGGACGAGGGACGCGGGGAGCGCTCAGCTGGCACGGAGGGGGAAAGGCAGCACAACGTCCCCATCCTGGGACACGGTGCCACCGGGATGGGCCTTTGCCACCGTGGGCTGTGTGCCAGTGCCTGTGTACCTTGTGGGAGTCACCGGCCACCCAAACGCCCTACGTGGCCGCCTGGGGCTGTGACAAGGCATTGCCCGGGGAGGACCCGTCTGGAAGGGTGGATTTGGGTAGGGGGGAGGCAGAGGAAGGTGTCCGGCGCTCGCTGGGGAATGCTGAAGAGGCAGAGCTCCCTCCGGTACCCCCACTGAGCAGGGCCTTACTATCACCAGCACCTCGCCCGATGAGCTTGCTCCCCCATTTTGGGAGGAGAGGGGTTAAGCCAAAGCATCCGAGCTAAGCTCTAGCAGGAGGAGGCTAAAACCTCGGAGGCCTGCGCTCTCCTGGAGAACAAAGCTCACAAAGTGGTGGTAAGCTCGTAAACCTGCGGGAATGTGGGCGCCTTCGGAGGGGGATGGGGTCCTGCCAGGCTTGGCCTCGGGGCCCCGTGTCTCCAAAACCCGGCCCCAGGTTATTTTCAGAACAATTGGTTGGCCGGGCTTCAAAAATGTCTTAGGCTTGTTTTTGGAGGAGACCGAAATCTGCAAGTCGGGCAGCACGAGACGAGCGTGGCAGGGTGCCGGCGGGACCGCGGCTTGGCCGGGGTGGCAGGTCCTGTGCCAGGGCAGGATGGGGCCCCGTGCACAGCGGTGCAAGAACCATCCCGGGGCTGCAAAAAAAGGGGAAACCACGAGGCAGCGTGTGCCCGGAGCCCCGGGCTGGGAGCGGGATGGCTGCTGGGTGTCCGGAGGTGGTGGATAGCGAATTATTTTCTGCTCGTCCTTGAGAATCCTAAATTTGCCGTTAACTTTTCGGGGAAGCTTTTCCAGGAAGGCAGCCTGGGCCCCGCTCCAGCCTCTTGGGTGCTGCCCAAGGTGGACGTGTGGGTCGTGCCTGGGCTCCCACCCTCTCTCCGAGCCCCGTCCTTTGCACCCAACGCGTGCTGGCGGGCAAACCCCGGTCTCTGCCGCCCCACTTTTATTGATTCCCGGCTTATATGAAAGCAGCGGAGAGGGCAAGGATTGATTCTAGGCAAATACTATAAAAGCATCTACAGTTGCGGCTGGGAACGACCTGGTTCATTGTAATTATCGCAGTTAAAATATAACCTAATGAAAATGCCACCTCTGGCCCCTGGCCTTCCGTGTTGGCTGAACGTGGGTGGGCAGAGGGGTGCGTGTCCTGGCGCCGGTGGCACGAGGGGGACCCGACGTGGCGTTAGGGTGGTGGTGGGGGGGTGTGACTCCCTCACCCCAGGGAGAGCCGAATTCGGCGGCCGGCGTTGGTATTAAAACTGCGCCGGGGTTTGCTGCCCGCAGGATCCCCGACCACCGGCCGCTCTCCCCCCAGGGATCCCGAGGCGCTGCGGAGCTGGAGAGCCCCCGGGGACCCCGCGGCCCGGCAGCCCCCCCACCCCTCGGCACACGGCTGCGGTGAGCGGGGCGCGTGGGGAGGTGGTGCGGGGAGTTTAGCGCGGGGTGGAGGAGGAGAAGCAGCTGGCTTTGTATCGCTGGTGAAAAGATGTTGAGTGTGTGGGGGTCCCCCGCCCTGCTCGGGATCTGGGTGTTCTCAGCACTGCGCAAGGCTGTGTGTCCTCCCCGGGGGAAGAAAAATAACGGCTCCTGATGGAGCCGCGGGGTGGGGGAGCGGTGGTCGGAGCTGCTGGGGATTGCTAAAGCTAACGGCGGCGCGCGGCTTCTCTTCCAGCGTCCCTGAGACACCATGATCCCCAGCGCAGGCCCCCGGGGCTGCTGCCTGCTCGCGCTGCTCTGCCTTCTCCCCTGCCCCTGGGCCTGGGCGGGCAGGGACGCCGCAGGGCCGGCGCTTTCCGCCGCCTCCTTCCTGCAGGATCTCCTCCAGCGCTATGGCGAGAGCGAAACCCTGAGCCTGAAGCAGCTCAAGGCCCTGCTGAATCGCCTGGACGTGGGAGTGGGACACGCCAACGTCTCCCAGGCGCCGCAGCAGCAGATGAACCTCTCCCGGGTAAGGCAGGGGCTCTGCAGACCCCCCACCCCCCCTCCACAAACCTCTTTGCGGAGCCGCGGGAGTCTCGAGGCACGTGCCTGTCTCTTCCTTTCCCCAGTGCTTCAGCTCCGTCGAGCTTTTCGCCATCCATAACCTGAGCGAGGGCTCCGCTGTGGGGCACAGCGAGTTCAAGGAGTTTTGCCCCACCATCCTGCAGCAGCTGGAGTCGGGGGCGTGCGCCTCTGAAAACCTGGAAAATGAGGAAAACGAGCAGACGGAGGAGAGCAGACCCAGCTCAGCCGAAGGTAAGAGGGGAATCAGGGGGCACGAGTGCTGCCTGGCTCTGGGCAATGGAGCCTGGGGACACGATGGCACCTGGGGACAGCCAGTTCCCGTTCCCAGCTCCGGGGCACAGGCAGAGTCTGGCAGAGACGAGAGGAGGCAGCAGCCTGGAGCCCTGATGGGTTTTCCTTGGTGTGGTTCGTGCTGTGGGCTCGCAGCGTGGTTTTGCCCCCGATCACACAGGCTGCAGGTCAGAGCCGTGCAGCACGGCTCTCCCGGAGAGCTGGATGATGGGGGGGGGGAGGACCTTGGAGCGGGTGACTTGGCACGTTTAGGGACCCGCTGGCCTCCAGCCACCCACGGATGCTAAACGGGCTTCCACGCATCCAAGTCCTGATGATGCCCAAGGTCTTGGATCAGCTGCCCTGAGCACAGCCCTGGCTTCTCTCACGCCGCAAAGCCAGGGCTGGCTCGGGAAAGCCTCTTCCAAGTAAACCAATGGCTTCGTTTCCGCTTGCCCTGCAACAAAAATGATGGTTTGTGTCACAGTTGAAGTGTCCAGAGCACAGGGAGAGACGCTCTGGTGCCGTGAGGCTGGAGCATACATAGACCTGGAGCCAGCCTCTTCCACCTGCCCGGATCCGGGGTCTCGGGGTCCTCCCCGTCTCCACGCACCGAGAGCCTCGGTAATGTCTGGCCCTCGTTTCTTCTCGTTCCGCAGTGTGGGGCTTTGGTTTTCTCAGTGTGTCGATGATTAACGTGGCCTCCCTGCTCGGAGTCTTCATCGTACCGTGTACCGAGAAGGCCTTTTTCAGCCGGGTCCTCACGTTTTTCATCGCGCTCTCCATCGGCACGCTGCTCTCTAACGCGCTCTTCCAGCTCATCCCAGAGGTGCGGTAGAAAGTCCCTGCCTCTCTTCCGTCTCCAAGGGCAGCTCTCCGGGCACCCTCTCTGCCTCCACCTTGCCGAATCGAACCAATCCTCCCATCACCCGAGGCTGAGGGCTTGTCTCAGGGGCTTTGCAGGGCTTTTCTCACCCCTCCGAGCACCAGGAAACCCCCTCGAGTGTGCGGGCAGCGTGGGGAGGCCGTGTCCTCCAGCCCTGCTGTGTCCTCGCGATGCTGCTGGCCAGGTCTGAGGTCCAGGCAGGTGCTGGGAGAAGCTGTTTGCTCCTGCCCCATGGGCTGTGTCTGCTTTGCAAGAGAGTTTATCCCTTGGAGGGGTGTGCTCAGCCCTGCTTCGTGCAGAGCTGCCCGGCTCTGAGGTCGCCGAGGTGCGGCAGCACCCATGGGGTGAGCTGGATGGAAAGACCTGTGGGGTGGAGGAAATACCGGTGTAAAAGCACAGAGAACAGCCCAGAGAAGCACCAGCTCCCTCTCAAGTCAGCCAACATTTACAAGCGTTTTAATTGCTTTTTTTTTCCCCCCCGTCCTGATTTACAAGACTGATGTTCCCACAAAGGTTTAGGCAGACGTGAGGTTTCCTGGTGCTCTGATGGGACCGACAGATATATCGCAAATTAATTGTGTTGTAATTGCACAGTTCCAGAGTTGAATAAGTACACAGATTGGACACCTCTGAAACACGCATACTTCCTCAGCCCGGGTGGCTTCGCGGAGCCCTCGTGGCTCCTGGGGAGGTGACAAGCTGGATCCGAGCTCCTGCACATCCATCCTTAAAACTCCGCGTAAAACCTTGCCTCTGAGCAGAGCTCCCTTTGCTGCCGCTGGGTTTTGCCCCTCAGCGTTGCCTGCTTTGCTCTCAGGCAGCGAACGCCTTGTCTGTGTTGGCAGGAGGAAGTTTTTTCAAGGCTCCTTTTCAACTCCAGAACTGTGACTTTTATTTGCCGAGCATAAAAACCAAGAGCCTATTTTTCCTGATCTGCCAGGAACTGAAATGCCTTACGTACGCTCCACCCTCGCCGTCAGTCCCAGCGTGGCTTGCGGGGACCGGCTGCGTCTCTCAGGGCTGGAGGATGAGGATGGAGCGTACGAGATGATCGGGCGACCTCGATGCTCTGTGGCTCTGGAACGGCTGCCCCGAGGTCCCGCGGGGGGGCTCGGGGAGCAGAGCTGGGGGTGCTGGCTCTGAAACAGCCTGCCTGCCAAAACTCAGCACCAGCCCAGCGGTGAGAGCGAGCTGCTTGCTCCAAGGGGAGGCTCCTCTCCCGGCCGTTCGGCGCGAGCTCCGCAGCGGGGTGTCCCTCCACCCCTTCCCAAATTGCTGCTTCCAAAGCCACTCAGCACCCGGTTCACCCCTCTTGAGCCAATGCCAGATGAACAAGCAATCACTAATGAATGTCCTCTTCTCTCCCCCTCCCTCTCCCTCCCTCCTCTCTCTTTCCTTTCGGCGTGGATTCCTTCCCCTCCCTCCCCTCGTTGATCTCCTTTCCCTCCGACAACCTCCCCTCGTCCGATTCCCCCCCGGGGTGGGTTTGGCACGCACGCCACAGTCTGGGGTTACGGTTTCCTCTGCGTGACCGTCATCTCCCTCTGCTCGCTGGTGGGAGCCAGCGTGGTGCCCTTCATGAAGAAGACCTTTTACAAGCGGCTGCTCCTCTACTTCATAGCTCTGGCGATTGGAACTCTCTACTCCAACGCCCTCTTCCAGCTCATTCCCGAGGTAGGGTGAGGACCGTCAGGTCTGTCCTTTTCTCTCTCTCGGGGGCTGTTTCTCTCTCTCTGGGCGCTCGCTGGCTGGAGAAGGGGAAGGCGGCGTCGGAGGGGAGCCGAGAGCGAGGTAGGGAGGCTGGAAGCCCCTCGGGATCGCAGTCGGAGCTGGCGTTTCGCCCCTCTTTGGAAGGGAATCGCTCCAGGGAGACCTGCGGTCTGCTTCAAGCAGAGCAGCGCTATTTTATTGCCCTTTCTAGCCCCGCAGGCGGGTCGCCTTAGTGCCGAGACAGCGGAGGCTTTTGAAGCCTGCTTTTAGCATCCCTGTCCCAGTGCAGGGTGGTGGATCCAATGCCTTGGGGCACAGCCGGCTTGGCTGGGGGAGTGAGGGAGATGAAAGGTGCACGAAGGCGTTTTCTGAGCTTGCCCCCAAAGCAGCTGCTGCTTAGAGAGAGGTCAGAAAGCAGCAGTGTTGCCCCAGAGGTGCCAGGGGCAAAGGCAGATGAAGGACGCTGCCCGAGATTGTTCCTCAGTCCTGTCGCTTGTCCCCTTTTGTCTGCAGGCGTTTGGATTCAACCCTCAAGAAGATTATTACGTTTCCAAATCCGCTGTGGTGTTTGGGGGCTTCTACCTCTTCTTCTTCACGGAGAAGGTCCTAAAGATGCTCCTGAAGCAGAAGGACCAGGTGAGGCTGAGCGAGGGGCTGCGCGGGTGGGAAACGGGCAGAAATGGAAGGGGTGGCTGACACTTGCGAATCCCCCCCCCCTGCCCTGTCCCACAGCATCACCACGGGCACAGCCACTACGGCCCCGAGGCTCTGCCGTCCAAGAAGGACCAGGAGGAAGGGATCACGGAGAAGCTGCAGAACGGGGACCTGGACCATATGATCCCGCACATAACCAGCGAGCTGGAGTGCAAGACCCCCTCTGGGGATGAGAAGGCTGTGGTGGGCTCGCTCTCTGTCCAGGTTAGTGCCTCCTCCTGTGGGGTTGAGGGTGGGCGTGTGGGAAAAAACAAAACAAAACAAAACAAAACCTTCCTGTCAATGAAAAAGGGCAGTTTGGAAGCTCATTGCACCTCCCTGACAAAATCCTCAGTGGGTGGTAGAAAGCAAACAGCTTGGGTCAAGCCTTGCGTGGATTTAACGCGTGGAGGGGGTGGGTTCCCCTGGCTGGTGGAGGGAGCGGTGACCCCACCCCAGACCAGCTGGGTGCTGACCCCATTTTTGGGGTGCCGTGGCAGGACCTGCAGGCCTCCCAGAGCGCATGTTACTGGCTGAAGGAGGTGCGGTACTCCGACATCGGCACGCTGGCGTGGATGATCACCCTCAGCGACGGCCTCCACAACTTCATCGACGGCTTGGCCATCGGGGCCTCCTTCACCGTCTCCGTCTTCCAAGGGATCAGCACCTCCGTGGCCATCCTCTGCGAGGAGTTCCCACACGAGCTGGGTACGCGAGTCCTCGGGGGAAGGTGCTGCGGGGGCTCTCAGATCTTGTCCCTCTTTAAGGCTAACCCTGCCACTTCCTTCAGCGTGTTTTTTCTCAAGAGAAAGGCAAATGGGGGGTGGAATAAACAGAGTCATGGGGAAGGCAAGGCTGTAAACTACACTGAGTAATCACAGCTCTAAAAATAACTAGGTAATATGATGTCTGAGATTTAAATTTAGATGGAGACATCTGAAGGAAAATAAAAAAAAAAAAAAAAAAAAAGAAGAAAAACCACCACCTTATTGGTTTGGGGCAGGTGGGGGGACGGGTGGGCAGCGGTTTGGGTTGGAAAGTCCGATTTTATGCGCAGGCAGGGCCAGGAGCTGGCAGGCAGGCAGCTGGTGTGGGCAGTGCTCAGCTTGACTTGCAAAAGCAGGCGCTGATCACGGAACACCCCTTCCCTCCTCATCCTCCCCACCCTCTTCTCCCGCAGGGGACTTTGTCATCCTGCTGAACGCCGGGATGACCATCCGCCAAGCGCTCTTCTTCAACTTCATCTCTGCCTGCTGCTGCTATGTGGGCTTGGCCTTCGGCGTCGTGGCCGGCAGCCACTTCTCTGCCAACTGGATCTTTGCTCTGGCCGGAGGGATGTTTCTGTACATAGCGCTGGCTGACATGGTAAATGATGAGCCCAGGGGGCTGCTGGGACCTTGCAGTTGGGACCTTGCCAGGGTTTTTTGTTTATTTTTATTTTTTTGCCTGGCTAGGAAGAGCTGTGGTTTCCCTCAGCCTGGAGCAAGGCTGGCACGGAGAGCACAGGGGGATGTTTGCTCTGTCACCCTGGCGAAGGCAGATGCTCTGTAGCGGCCACCGTTTGTCTCCGCTTTGCTCTGCCTCCTGGGCTGGCGGTGCGGTGACCCGGCCGAGAGCCCTGGGGTGGGTGGTGGCACGGGGTGGGAAGGATGGGGCTGCTCCTGTCACTAAGCCCTGCCACCTCTTTCTCTTCCCCCCTCTTCCCCAGTTCCCTGAAATGAATGAGGTCAGCCGGGAGGACGAGCAGAACGGCAGCACGCTGATCACCTTCGCCATCCAGAACGCGGGGCTGCTGACGGGGTTCACCATCATGGTGCTGCTCACCATGTACTCTGGCCAGATTCAGATAGGGTAGGACCAGCCCGACTCACAGCCCTGTTCCAGTTTTTCCGTTTGTTTGGGTTTTGTTGGTTTTTTTTGTTTTGTTTTTTTTTTTGGGGGTGGGGAGGGAGTGGGAAAATGGGTATTTTTTTTTTTTTTTCTTCCCTTTTCCTGCTGCAACCATACGATGGTACCTGTGCAGGCACTGACATCACACTACAGAAGAAAAGGCATTGCTTTTAAAGCTGCTCCACAGACTTAATTTTATTTTGGTTTAAGGCTGAGGGGAGCTTAATCCCCTTGCCTGTAGGAACGAACTGACTGGAGGATCTCTTTCCAGTGGATATCCCTTCTCTCCTTGCATCCCCTGGGCAGGATGGAGTTGGGAGACAGGAGCTCCTCTACCCATGTTGCTCCCCTCCTTGTGCTTGGAGTGGTGCGATGGGGCGTGACGCTCTCCTGACCCCTTTGCAGAGGGTGTGTGATTGGGGACAGACCCTTCTCGGGGAGTTACCTACCAGCCCATCCTCGGAGCTGTGCTCGCCAAGCACAGAGGGCTGCCGAGGAAGAGGAGGCTCGAGGAGCACCGCTCGTGATCTGAGCATCATCCTTGTTGTCTTCAGAAGCGTGTCTCTGGAGCCACGTGTGGTTTTGCTCCCGTTCTGCCTTGGCAGCCCAGACGATGCCCTGGGAAGAGCAAGGTGAAGAGGCTTGGTTTGGTTTTTTTCTGTTTTTTTTTTTTTTTTTTTCTGGTTGGTTTGTTTTTTTTTTTTTTTAAAAAAAAAAAAAAAGCACATTCTGGGCGTCAGCACTCAGAGTAGAGGACACCAAACCACACCACGTGCGGGTCAGACTGACACGTGGGCTGCGAGGGGCAGTGGCTGGCAGGAGGCCCTTCCCTCCCTCAGGTCTCTGTTGCTGTATGGAGGGGAGAAAAAAACCCTTCTCCTTCTGTGAGGGCAGCCGTGGGGCAATGCTGGTGAGAAGGGCATGAGAGCAGTGTGGGGCAAGGGCAGGGCCGGGACAGCGAGCCCCTGCCCGGCCAGCGGATCAGGCCTCAGACTGTGACCAAGCTCACGCCGACACCTGGGAACAGACACCGGTTTTTAAACACTGATGCTGCTGAGTTGCTGAGGTTTGGGGGGGGGGGTGGGGGGGATGGGGGATGTTTTTTTTTAAAAAAAAAAAAAAAAGAAAAAAATAGACTGTGAACCTCTTTAGGTTGTGTGTTTCCAGCCTTAGGGAGTAGCCAGAGAAGGGTGTTACAGGCACTTCACAGCTCTGCTTCTGGGCTGGCTTTCCCCAGATTCACTAGGTGAATTGACTTATTATCATATTGATAATGTTGCCCACCCTACCCGTGTTGTTTGAGGTTCCCTTGCACCCCCTTTTCCCCCCAAACCTCACCCTGCACCTGGTGTTGGTGAGTTTGTGGCCACGCTGATAAGCGGGAGCTGATGTAGGCGACTTACCCTAGTGGGTATGGTGCTGGCTTGGGGTGAAGGAGCGGTGCGGATGGCTTTGAGAAGTGTTTTGGTGTACATGCCGGGGATGATTTGCTGCTGAGAGTCTTCCTTCACTCCCTGCCGGTGCAGGTGGCCGTGGGGGTGTGTGTGACAGGGTGACGGCCACCCTGCCACCTCGGCTCGGTGCTGCTCGGCACCGGGGGCTGGAGCTGAGGCTCCCCACGCCTTCCCTTCCGCCCCTGTTGGAAAGCAAAGCGGAGGGTGCGCGGGGTATTTTTCCTGCCCATCGCAACAGCGACAAGGGACCTCAGCCCTTGGCATAGCCGAGGGCAGGCTCAGCACCATCCTGTAGCGTTGCACCTTGGTTTGATCGCTGGCTGCCGTTACCTCACTGTAGTTCCTAATTTGCCTTAGGTACCAGCTGGATGATGTTCCTCTTAGGCTCCTAACAGTTGTCACCGAGTCCCTAGGTCTCTGCCTGGTGAGATGTGGCACTGCCAGTATCCTCGTGGATCAGCACCTCTGCTCTCAGTGGCTTTGGCTAGGCCAGGCTTTGACTTTGTCCCCTTGGCACCCAGGAGGCTGTTGGCTTTGTCCCACACCCAGGTTAAATATCAGCAGGTCGAGGAGCAGGGAGCCTTCTTGGGAGCACCCTTCAACCCAGAGGTACCACACGGTCCTCGGGCCGCTTGCTGCCGTTGGTGATGCCTTCAAGGAGAGACAGGCTCTGCTTTGTCCCGTGTAGTGTCTCTCGTTCGTGTGGACGGTCATCGTGAGTCACTCTTCCCTCTGCGGCTGGTCCGTGGGAGAGAGCCACCTTGAAGTAGCGTGGTCTGTCCTGGCTCGGGTACCCAGCCGCCTCTGCAGCACCTCGCGGTCATTACCCATGCTTTAGGTTGCTGCTAATTTCTCAGTAGCTGGGGGGAAAATGGTATTGGAAACTCCCTTTCCCTGCTTGAGAGAGCTGCAGCCCCATCTGACTGACCCGATGTGGAAAAACTGAGTCCTCTGAATGGTAGAGGTGCCCTCTCTTCTCTCTCAAGGAAGTATTTGGAAAACACCGTATCGCTGGCGGCTTTCCACAGGGCAGAGGGCAGCCACGGCCCTGCCAGGGCTAAGTCCTGGCTGGCAGGAGCGGTTCAGTGGTGCGCACAGATGGAAAAGCCTCCGTGTTGGAGGTGAAGGGGGGGGTCGGGGAGATCTTGTTGTCTGTCCCCTGGGGACCGCGAGGCACTTGCAGGCTGTGCCTGGGAGGTCCTCTGTGTCCCCCGGAGCTGGAAACGTGGCAAGGACTGACACCTGGCTTCCTCGGAGCCGGTACGAGCCCCTCGGGACACGGTGGGGATCATGAGTCCGTCGTCTTCTTGTTTCAAGTTTAACTCTGTTTCTTGCCAACGGAGAAATCTGCCACCCAGAGATTTGAGGGGTGAGACCTGGTGGAGAAACAAGGCACTTTGCAGAGAGATACCCTCCTTCTGCTGAAGGACCGGTGGGAGAGAGCTCCTGTCCCTGGCTCGGGCAGGCTGGTACCCGCTGTCGGGGAAGGGATGGGGCAGGCAGGAGGATGAGGAGAGAACGCGACCCAAATCGAGCTTGTTATGGATTTTTCATCCTTGTTTCCCTTCCTGTGTCCAGTTCGAAGCTCAAGTTCCATCTCAGTATTTCAATAACTCAGGTGTTGTCAGAGATGCGCGTTGAAACAAAGAACATAACTTATGTCACGTGACTTGTAAAGTTATTTGTAAAAATTCCATAAATAAAATATATTCCGTAATGAGGAGGGTTGCAAGCGTGCTCTAGCGGCAGAAACTTCCCTGTGGCCACAGCTGGTTGGGGTGTGAAGGGGTGGGAGCTCTGCCGGTTCAGGATTTTTCCAAGGGGAAGGGTTTGAGCCACGCTGGAAGGGCTGGGTGATGCAATCCCGCTTTTCCAGCCCCAATTTCCAGGGTTGTGCAGTGCGGTGTGCCTGACAGAAGATGGCACTGACACCCCCCCCCCCCATCTGCCCGCGTGGCACAGCGTTCCAGGAGTCGCCTTTAAGAATCGAAAAGCCCTTTTTAAATTTTTTTTTTTTTTAATGTATTTCCAAGCATTGACGTTTGGCTGGAGGGAGGCTGAGGTTTCGGAGTGGGGCTGTGGGATGTTGTATTCCTCGCCAGCTCACACGAGGGAGCCTGACTCGGAGATGTGTTATTCGTGTCCTTGCTTCCCCACCCTGCATTAGGGAGAGGGGAAAAAAAAGATAAAAGGAAAAAAAAAAAAAAAAGGCATACTTTGCTTTTCTACTTCGCCTTCTTTGCCTTTTTATATACCATTACCCTCAAGCTGCCAGCTCCAAGGGGCGAGCGCAATTTTTAGAAAACCCGTTGCAGCTAAAGAAAAGGAATCTTGAAATTCTGCGGTGTTTTTTCAAAAATGCATGCTATATTAAGGAAGAAAGGTCGCAGGATGCATCTGACTTGAGCTCCCTCTTCCTCGGCGCTGGCTCGGTGCTTCCACGGGGCCTGTCAGGCACCAGTGCTCCCGGGCTGCGCATCGAGGCTTCAGGTGGGGGTCTTTTTTTGCTGCAAACCCCTCGTGTTTTGATGAAGCCCTGCAACCTGAGTTGCAGAAAGGTTAAACCACGCTGGCTGGGGTCACCCTCAACCCTCAGAGAAACTCAGGCTCTGATTATTTAGCAGCGAGGCTTCTCTCTGCCTCCCCACATCCCAAAATCTGTGCGAACGCTGCGCGCCCAGCGCCTTATCTCCCAATTTGTGCTGCCAGGGGGGCGCGGTGGAGGTTTATTTTTACCTGTTACGTCTTTTTCCCCCCCACACACACCTCCGCTGGCCCTGTACCAGGCGGAGGGAGGTGGCAGGGGGACGCTGAGGGGCCCAGGGAGGGAAACGGCATCGCACCCCTCAGCAAAGAGCCCTGCCGCCATGATGCTGCCCCCCCCGCCCCGTCGCCTAGCAACACCCCCTTCCCCTCCAAGATGGCGGCAGGAAGGGGCTGCGGCGCGCCCCCCCACGTGACGCGGCGCGCATGCGTGGCACCGGACCTCTCCCCCCGCCGGCTGCTGCGCAGGCGCAATGCGGAGAGGCGGGGCGGGTGCGGAACGGCGCTTGCGCAGTGTGGGCCTGCGCGGGGCCCGGGGAGGGGGGGGGAGGAGGAGGAGGAGGAGGAGGAGGAAGAGGAGGAGGAGGAGGAGGGAAGAGAGAAGGAGGAGGGCGGCGGGGGGTGGGGGGAGCGGAGCGGAGCCGCCGGGGCACCCAGCGGATCCCCAGCGCCCGCTTAACCGCTGGGAGCACCCCGCGGGCCCCCCCCCCCCCGGTGAAGGGAGCGGGGCGCGGCGAGGGGGGGGTGGGGAGGAAGGCCGGGAGCGGCCCCCGCCACTAAACCACCACCACCATCATCATCATCATCAACCACCGCCAAACCATCACCACCATGTCCGGGCGCGGCCACAACAAGCTGCCGACCACCGAGCGCATCGTCAAGGGTGAGGGGCCGGGGGGCGGTGAGGGCGCCCGCTGCCTGCGGGGGGGGGGGGGGGGTTCTGTGGGGTCTTTTTTTGTTTTATTTTGGGGGGGGACACGTTGTTCTGGTGGGGCACCCCTCCTAAGGGAGAGCAGTGGGTGAGGAGGGGGCACCCCTTGTCTTGCTGAAACCACTGCGGAGGAGCCGTGGGTGGGGGGCACCTTTGGTTTTGGGGGGGGAATATCTCTGTTTTGAGGGGAGCTGGAGAGCGGGGGTGGGAGGCATTTTCAGGCCTGGGGGGCAGCCCTGGTTTAAGGGGATGAGCAATCCTGCCCCCTCTTTTCTGTGGTGCAGGTCCTCACCCTGCTGCAGTGCGAGGAGGGGGGGTGATGGGTTGGGGGGCCCCCCAGTCTCTGTTGCCGTGGCAGGGGGGGGTGACGTCCCTGCCCTGCTCTGGGTGTGTGTGGGGGGAATCCCCCGTTCTGGGGAGAGCCCAGTTCCCGGAGGAGGGATGGGGCACTGGGCTGGGAGGAGAGAGGTGCCAGCCCGGGGTGGGGGGGGGAAGCTGAAACGGGCATTGTGCTTCTTCCCACCCATGAAATCCTCCCACCCCCCCGACTGGGATGCCGAGACGCTGCTTTGGGTGGAAGCAGGGGGGCTGGCCTGGCCCTGTTTTACATTCCCCCCCCCCCGCCACCGCTGAGGATTGTGGAGGGGGGGGAGCCCACCCTGCCCTCATTCTGACAGCTCCCTGACTGCTTGCCTGTGTCTTGCCTCCCCCAAAGCCCTATTCGCTCTTTTGATGCCCCGAGGCGGGTGCCAGCTGGCCCCCTCTTCAGGACCCGTTATAGTAGGTACTATTTTTGAAAGAGCAGAAGACACTGAAGCGGTTAACGAGGAGAGAAATACGTTAGCTGAGAAACTCCTGGATTAGGAGGAGGCTTGTGTGATGTACATTTCGCTGCCCTAATTGATCTAGTGCCATTATCATACCCACGCATCGGGGAACATCCACTGCGCGCCTTCACTTGCTTAAACTTTCGCTCAGCACCCACTGCTGTAGCCGAGAGGCACCCGGCTGTCAAAGTTATACAATCGCCCGGTTATTAAAGCTTCTCACCGGATGGCTTGAATCATTGCAGGCAGTCGTGCTGCCCTGAGCCGGCTGATGAAAGGAGCAGTTTCCCAGGAATGGTTATAATATACGGGTATGGAGGTGTGCCTACAAGAGGTGCATGCTGCCATCTCTACCTTCTCTGGATGGGTCCAAGTGATTTTTATTTTTTTTTTATTTTTTTTTTTCAGCCTGTCATGTGGCTGATCACATGTTTAGATGTTAATAACCACGGCCTCAAATGAAGGGAAAGTAGACTAGGGTGGTAGCCTGGACTTTGAGGCCCCTTGGGCTTGGTTAGCTCTGCGCTGTCCACGCGTGTTTTTCGTGGGTTGCTTTTGGCCTGCTGCTTAAAATAAGGCTGGAGGGCTCATGGATTTGGGGGACCCGGGGCTTTCCCCCAGAGCTATGTGTGTGGCTTGGTGATTTGTAGGTCTGCAGGCAGCCCGAGTGGCCAGTGCGAACCGTAAATCTCCTGCTAAATCCCAGGCAGCTGCGTGTGTTTAGGTTGGCTTTGTTCAGGGAAGGTAATGTCAATGCAGCCATTATGATTCAGCTGAGTCGTCCCTACCGACAGGCTGTCCCTGTTCCTTCGGGCTTCCAGATCCTGGGAAACCCTATCAGCAATCCTGTCGACGTTACCGACGCCACTTGGGGCCTTGACAACCCTGCTGCATCAGGATGGCCCCGGCTAATTTTGGTAATTAGTTCGTAGCCAGGTGGGCTGGAGGCTCGTGGCGTTGGCTGGAGCCCGCTTGCTCCGTGCAGTAGTGCTCCAAGAGCCGTGGGAACTTGTCAAGGAGAGCCTTTGATTTCCCCCAGGTACGCTTGGGATGCTGATTCAAGTGCCTCTAGAAATCTGGGGAGGAATAGCTTCTTCCGTGGCTGTGATTATTGTTTAAAGGTGGTGACATTGTTCATGGTTATTAATAATTTAAACCTGAAGATAAAAGCTAATTTTCTTCAATTGGAAATGCCTACAATTAAGTAGGATGTAGAATTTTAACTATGTTTAACCTATATATTTACATCTCTAGAGCCCTGAAGAAGTGTTAACTATAATTATGATTAGTCAGGAGAAATACAGCGTTTCTATTTGCCTCAGTTTTGTGCTTAAACTTGTACTGGGATAACTTCACGTTCATTATTAAAACTCTTAATTTTGGGGTACGTCAAAAACTTCTTTCTGGTAGCCCAGTTGTAGCAATTAACTGATGGCTGATGTTAACCACAGTCGTTAATGTTCAAACTTGGTGCTCTCATGAGAGCTCTTGGGGTGGTTATTATGCTGCAAATGTGAGCGATTAGCTGGGTCCGCTTATCTACGCTAGCCCAAAGATAGACTTGAATTAACTGATGGATCCACAGCCTGTGAAATACACATTATGCAGGCAGGTGGGCGCAATGCTTTGGGCTACTGCGGTGTCCCTGATGCTCGAGCTCAGGACTTGGGCATGGTGGGTGCCTTCCCACCCGTGAAAACAAACCTGCAGAGGTTGTTTTTTGCACAGAAGTGATCCTGCTTCGTTCCACCTCCACGAATCACGCCTGCAAGGTGTGACGTCCTCTGGGAAGCAATGGCAGAGGTTAAGCGTAGCTGTGTGCTGTGAGGATCCAAAGACATGTGAGCGTGGCTGAACGGTGGAAGGCAACCCAGCTTACTGTGTTTGCTGTTGCATCCATGAAAAATTCTTTTAAAAAAAAAAAGAGTATTGGTATTTAGACACCTGGCTGAGCCAGAGCAAATAATCTTGAGCGGTTTTCTATGTGTGCGTATTATTACTGTGTTGCACTGTTAGAAAGCTGGTGAATAAGGAGCAGCTAGGATCTGGTGCCCTCTTTTTGACAGCCATTGTGTGTTTGTCAGTCGTCAGTGACGTGCCTAATTCACGTAATGTTCAATACTGCCTGTGCTACATTTTATGAAGTACCGTTGGGTTTCTGCTTTTCTGTAGATGGATGGAACCCCTGTCGCTGGGTTGATATTGAGAAGGTGCTGGTGACTGGTGCTGAGACCGTGTAGCTGAAGGTGTACTGTAAACAAGTGTTTTTCCCAAGTTTGAGCTTTGCTGTCCTTTCATAAACACTTTGGCTTATTCAGGCACCTTTCTGCATACCTGGTTTGTTTTTTCCTGGCTGGAAGACATTTAAAGTGTGTGTGTGGGAATGCAAGACCCCAGACACCATGCTCTCTTACACATCAGCTGTCTGGTTTGTGGTGTGAGCTTCTCAGATATGTTGTAGATCATCTGTTTAATACCTACCTAAGGTTTCTGGGAGTGAAGGAACAGCGGGGCAATCTGAGCGTGCTGACCCCAGCAATATCTCATACCACCTGTGTGTTCAGCTCGGGTGAAGTCATGCTCGAGCAGAAAACACCCGGTGAGCTTCTCCCCTTCTCTCTGTGCAGTGAACACGTGCCTTTGTAGCGTGGCAGAGATGCTGCTAGAGGCATGGAGTCCGATCCCGTGGGATTTGTTCAGCAAGGCTCCTGGTGCCTTTCAACAGAAGCCGTGCCTCTGGGGACCCAAAAATCGGCATCAGATCAATCGATGCTGGCTTCAGAGGCTCTGGAGAGCTTCCCCCATGCTGCTGCCAAGCAGATAGGGTTCAGGGGGTGTGCTAGTTCATCTTGCTGGCTGAAGATGCTTTCAGTTTATGAAAAAAGTATAGCTGTCTTCCTGCCTTGTTTTTAATATAAGCTACTGCTCTACAAATGCAGTTGGATGGTTGAGCATTGGGCTTCCTCCAGGTGCGGAAGGTTGGGAGCTGTGGAGAATCTTTATAACAGAGCACACACCGTTACAAAAGTCAGAGTTGCTTTGTAATTGCATGCAAAGCAAAGGAAGGCTTCGGCAACCACAATTTCCCTTGTATTTGGGGCTTGCCTAAAAGAAATACATAATACCATCAGTGTCATTGTTGTTTGTTTTGTGTTTGGTGACCATAATGCTTTGGTTGGTTCGTCACGTTTAGTGTTACCATTTTGTAGCTAATAAGGAATACTTGGGGGGAGGAAGTAGCTGTGCAAATGGCTAAAAATGGAGGTAAAGGCCAAGGTGCGTGCTCTTGGACCTCGGGCATGCCAAAGGAAAAGTGCAAATACCATCAGGGTCAAGATGCAGTGATGGGATCTCTAAAAAGCAAGTTGTGTCATAATACAGCAACTGTCTGGACAGAGCTCAAGAAGGTCCTGAGTGTAGATAGCCCTTAAAGCATGAATCCTGTAGGATCTCTCCAAATTACTTGGGAACCTGGTATTTTTGGGGGATCTTTCTTGCAGGAAAGGTGCTTCATTATTTGTAAATGGGATGTGCTAGGAAAAGGGGGAGGTTTCTGGCTGTGCTGAGACTGGGTGTTGCAGAATTGGTGCCGATTTTGCCAGATCATGTGACACTTCATCCAAAAATGAATCAGAAGTCAAATGCAGTGCTAAGTGGCACTGCTGCGAACATCTTAGGGTAACGCAAGCTTTAGTATGCTTCCTGTAGCCCTCGTCTGCCCCAAACAGAACCAGCAGTACCTTTTTTTTTTTTGCATATGAAACTTCTCAGAGTCAGGTCTCCCAGTAGCCTGTAACAGAGATGTGCTGCTGCCATGCTCCTTAACAGAAATGCCACTGCTGGTGGCAAAACCTAAGCCCCAACGCTAGCCTTGGCTACTAAAACCTGTTTAGAAAACTGCGATAAGGCGTCAGGGAAAGCAGATTGGGCTGTCTTTTTATTTATTTCCTCCGAGAATAACACCAGATGCTTTAGATTGGTGCTGGAGGTGGGACAGAGAGGAGGGAAGGTCATGTCCCTCTGGACCCCTCTGTGTTTAATGTTTTTTTTCTCTTTCCCTGCTATCTGGATATTAGCCTGTGAAAGGTTAATCCCATTACCCCCCCGTTCAAGGCTGTGCCAGCT